TCACCCCCAAAAAAATGCTGCATTTTTATAGATACTAAGGCTTCTGGATACTTTTGGAAACTCGATCTCTCTCTCCCTCTCTATATATAATTCTATATATGATATATGACATATGTATACTGTATGTATACATCTTACTATATATATATGTTAGGACTGGAAGTTTAATATTTTTCTAAATTGCCTGTTCTAAGAATTTCAGCATGTTCCGCAAAACTGCTCCAGTTTGCCTGGGACTCAACGTCCAGGTCCTTCTCTCCCTTCTCTCACTTCACGCTGATGTGTGGCTTGTTGGGCTTGAGTGTCTGGTTACAAGGCGCGCTGAAAAAACACGGATTCCGGATGGCTTTCCAGAAGGCTCCCAAAAAATTAACGGCAACTTATGCCAGACAGTTGTTTCCAAATAACATGGGCCGGACAACTCGTGGAGATTGGTGACATGGCCCATGATAAGTTCCGTGGACAAGTGAGCTTAATTGATGTCAAAGTTCCATTGAAGTTGGTGAAGAAAAAACATGGGAGAGCAAGCTGGGTTGAATTGTCATCCAAATCTGCCCAATGTCGTTTGCTTGGCAGTTGCCGATCGTATTGACACGCATTGTTCAGTAAATATCAGTAAATTAATAGTGATGGGATTGCTAAACGCGTAACACATCCATTGAAAAGTGTTGATTGTATTTGATTGTTTCATCATGTTTCATCTATATTCATTTGCATAATGTACATATGTATGTATATATATGAGAGATGTATAATAGTATATATATATATATGGTTTACATGTATTCGTAATCTTCTTGGTGATTACAACAATCACTGACCATGGCTGCTCCATGGAAGATTTTGCTTAAGACTTATGTTTAACCCCTGGAAATAATCCTTTTTGTGGGCCCGCCCAGTTGAAATTTGTTCAGAATAAAACGTATCTAAGTATGGAATAGTATAGATATGTTTAATTTCCACATAAGTATAAACGTAAGTGTAAACCAACTCAACTATTCAATTGATGTGTGTTGCTTATATACTATGAAAAGCTCATGTAAACCACCATTTTCAGTCGGTTATCTGGCCGTCGTCCTTGCGCCAGATGCCAATCTGTTGGGGGGTCCCCCATTGTATTGATACACGGTGGTGCCCCATAGCTAAGTTGGTTTATACCTGTTTATATTGGCTGTTTAATTAGGCTGGTCATGAGACAACTACAGTTAGGTTCATGAACCAATAGGGGAAGCGCCACCAGCACACATCCATGAGCGTCTCTGCCAGGTTGTTTAAGCGGTGACGATGGCCCTGAGGAAGGCAGTTTCCCGGTGACGGTTTTGATATCCTGAAATGGGGAGATGCTGTATACCAAGCAGGATGGCTTCACCAACGATGATGGGGATATGATGGGGATATGATGGGGATATGATGGGGATATATATATAATATAATGGGGCCCGGGGATAACACATATTATATATATATTAACACATATTATATATATATCATATATATATAATAGATATTTAGATCTGGCGATATACTTGGATATAATACAACAAGGAATATGATTTGGGAGGAGCCAAGCTGTGAAGGATACAGCAAACATATCTAGGTCTAGGTCATATTTAAGCAAAGTCGTGGAACCATCGGTCCATCACTTGTGGCCAGGGGAACCATGAGTTAAACTGACCCAATGATAAATGCCCTCAAGTAATTCCACAGTTTTAATAGGTAAAGCATCTATTTCTATGGGCCATGGCTTCCATAGATAAATTACCGGAGAGTAGGAAACAAATTGCCACGTTTCCATATGGGATATCAGGGATATCCAGCTCATAGGCGAGAAATAACCCAACTATATACACAGATTGCAGAGGCAAAAGGCCATGGGGGTTCATGACCAGAAATCTCTCCAGATATTTCTATATATAGACATACACTGTATATAGACTACATACATCTATGTACTACATACATAGAAATCCAAAGAATTCACGCTAATGAATCATGTAACAGCTCACTTTCTCATTTACAGGTGCTTTAAATTAGAGGTGTTCAGAGGCCGGTTGTTGAGAGTTGATTTACTCTTTTACCTCGGATCGTATTTTCATGTACAGTAGTTTGCATGATCAGTGACCAAAACAAAGTGAACAAACAGAGTTGTTGATTGAAAGGGATCATCATGATCCATGAGTGGTGATTTTTTGTCAGCCACCAATCACTAGAGTTCGGCCTTGGAAATCACACTTGTTTTCAATAAACACCAGTGACCAATTCTATATGATTTTGGCGTAATTGTTCCTTCTTGAGAACCCCCCAACTGTTCAATAGCATCTCTCCCGTTGACTCTCAGCACAGTCTCTCTCTATATATATATATACATACATACACATAATTTTACAGGTGTAAAGATACAAAGTACCCCTGCCACATGAATCTTCCAATTTTGCGCTAAGGCACTCAAGAGAGCGGAGAATGCGCTCCAGTCATTTTGGAGCCTCCCATCCCTGGAGTGTCTCGGAGTGGGATTTAGAGCTGATTTATGATGGCGAAGTTGGTGCACATCACTCCAATGCAACGGGTTTCTGGTACAACTATGATGGGCTGGTTGGTGGTTTCAAACATGAATTTTATTTTCCATTTCACAAAAAAGGGATGTCATCCTTCCCATTGACTTTCACTCACTCCATCATTTTTCAGAGGGGTTGGGTAGGTCAACCACCAACCAGTGGGGCTATCAACCAAGGACCACACCACGGGTTGTCAAGGGAAATGTCCAAAAAATTGCCTCGATATGCTGGCAATGATTCCTGATGTATCACCGTTGTATCTGGGTGTATCCGAAAATTGGGTATACACCACATGGCTATTTTTTTTATTGGGAATGTGTATATATGATAACAATAATAGTTTAATAATAATAATAATTGACAAACATATATAATTGAACAACAAAATAACATAAGTTTTTGGGGTAGCCTATTTCCAGGCAGTATCAGAATAGATGTTCCACTATGTTCCTCTGGGAATTCAGTGCAAGTTTTCAAGGGCATAGGCTAACATGGTTGATTCTGGTTGCGACTCGAGGTCCGAAATGGTCCGAAACCCGTTTCTCGAGCCAAAATGGGGCATGTTCCATCGCCGTTCAGAAGCGTTCAGCCCATATTTTCTTCCGCCATGGAAGACAGGTAAATCTACCAGCAACATGCCATGGACATTCCGCCTGTCGACCCCTCGACCCAGCTGGATGGCCCTAGGTACTGGGTGGAGTTGATCGGCCCAAGATCATTTTGGGCCAGGCCGCTGGGCCGCTGCCTCTCGGAAGTTCTTTTTTTGTGAAAAAAAGGTGCCAGAAATGGACCTTTTGGCTGAAACAAAGGCCATGGTTACCCATGGTTTCCTGATGTTTCAAGAAGAGAGTTCTCTAGAAACATCAAGCCAGTGATTTTTGGTCTATTTTTCTGCTTTGCAGAGTATATTTTTCTAGCTCGTTGGTGTTTCCAAAGATTTCCAAACCTGTTTTTCTTTCCCCCTGGATGATACCAATAGACGTTGGTATGGGCTGGGATGGCTTAAAAATCCTTACTGGAAACATGATAGTGATACCAACAACTGGTAACATGATAATGAACAATAAATATCGTTGTAAACTTACTGTTTAACAATATTTATTGCTTATGAGTTGTATTGAAACATGACTAAACATGATGATGAGCAATAAATACCAGCAATAATAGTGATGAGCAAAACATACTAATAATGAGCAAGAAAAGTCAGTGATGACTTACTAGAAACAAATAATGATACCAATTTTTAACCGTTCGGAAGCGAGCGTGGCCAAAGAAATCCTCCACGGATCTATAGGGCATAGATATGTCATAGATATTGGGATCCTTTCATACCTATGGCGAGAAAAATCACGGATTATAGGAGTCTTCTGGAGTCCACAAATTCCATTGCATGCGACCTCCCCAACCGTTCCTGCTGTTTCACCGCAATGAATTGATATACACATATATACACTTACGCATCTTACGCAAGCCCATGAGCACCAAACACAATGAAGTCTGCACTCAAGGATCTGTTTCCACATTTAGTTGGTGTCTTCAATATTTGGGCACTTTCCAAAACCCCCAGTTATCTACCAGTCATGCTTTTGGGATGGCGTTATCGCAAACCACCAAGCAGCTGAGCATATTGCTCTGGTTACCTCATGTTACCTCCAGATATCAGCATGAAACAATGAAACAAGTCAGAAACATTCAGCGGGATGGGACCTGCCAGGACATTGATTGGCCAGGATATGTTTCTTGGATCTTCGAATGTGAAATTCGATTCCTCAATGCCCTGGGATCCCTTAGGGGATCCGGATCCGACTGCGCCGGTGAGAGATTAGATGCTTCATCTATTGGGGCAAAATCATGTCAACCCTCTGGTAAACATACAAAAAACTATGGAAAATCACCATTTTTAATGGGTAAATCCACTATAAATCACCATTTTCAATAGCTTTTTGTATGTTTACCAGAGGCTAATCCACCATTTTGGGAAGATGTATGGGCTTCATTCAACTTGCTAGCCCCAAAACAAGTAATCCCATGGTTTTGAAGATGTTTTTCCCAATTGACAGCTTAACAAAAACGACAAAAACGACAAAAACGACTCAAAACTCATTGAAAACTGAGGTCGTGAACATAACATGACCGAATCTGCGGGTGTTTCCAAAAAGCGATTCGAGAATTGGATGAAAGGAAATCTATTGGAAACCCTCAAATACTTGGGGTTAAACAAAAACATGATTTCATATGATTTTATCATGTTTCAACTGTTTCAACCATAGATTTCCCAAGAAAATCAATCCACCAATCCATTGATTAGACTTAGACATTAGACGGGCCCTGGAGGTTTTTTTTTTTCGCGGCTAGGAAGTGGTTGAGAACTCGTCATGGAGTATCCATGGTGTCTATCCCAACCAGTGACATCGCCCACATCGCCAAAAAATCGCCCAGGCCTACATGGGCACTCCTCCCGAGTCGGATTTCGGAACTGAGGGCATTGGCAACGACATCGCCAAGGGTTTACCTTCAGTCTGTAACTGGGATGAAGTGAGACGAACTGGGGAGATTCTGGATGACCAAGAAATGTAGAAGGCTTACTCTTTTGGTTAGTCAGAAATGAGAGCTGTTTGGAGATTCAGTAGTATTCTGAGTATTCGAATGAAATTCTGACTTTGCAATTCGATGATTTTTCACATCCCATTCAGCAACCATTTTGAAGCGCATTTTCTGAGGGCGAAGATTGATGCGGACCGATGTTCCATTGGCTTCCCTGGTGTCCCTTCCAGCATGTTGGATTGGACAATCACAAATACTGAAAGTACTGGTGATAGCCTTCCTTTCAGTGGCTCAAACTTCCCATATAACTTCACATATACTTCACATATTAAGGCATGTTCACAACGTGCTGATGTAGTAGATATAGATAGATATTTAAATTGATCGATAGATAAATGGGTGGGTAGGTAGCTAGGTAGATAGTTAGGTAATGTTAGGTAGATAGATATACATATATCTAAGTCAATTATAACGACCTCACTGTTCTCCCGAACCCTGGAATAATGCTTACCATTCGGGGAATCATCCCCCTTTATGGCCCTTAAAATTTCAGTTGAGTGACATATTATCATTTTGCAATATATACCCTCTGGTTATTTAACATAGCCATGGAAAATCCCTGACATAAATGGAGGTTTATAGCTGGGAAAATCATCTATAAATGGGCCATCTATACCATGGCTATGTTAGTCATAACCAGAGGGTATGTATCTAGTTGAATAGGATTTTGCATCACGAACCATCCATTTTGGTGATAGCCCATTTCTGGAAAGCCTCCATAGACATAGACAGCACGTTGTCACATGTTGTCACATCGTTGTGTCGTCTCTGAGGCGACATTGATGTTGAAGTGACGGTGACTCGGCCTCAATTGTTTGGCAGATGCATGGGCGAGAGAAAGCTCTATTTGGGCTCATAGAATGAGGATATCATGGGAAATCATATGCGAATATATTAGATATATGATGATATATGCTTGTGAATTGGGATATAAGCACGTTTTTGTTGGATTGAGAGTCCTTTTTGTTGTCTGGCTAAGATGATCTTTTTTTGTACCCTCTGGTAATTTAACATAGCTATTGAAAATGACCATTTATAGTGGATTTTCCCATGAAAAATGGTGATTTTCCATAGCTATGTTAGTTTACCAGAGGGTATTTTTGTTGTGCGGAAGCATCGACATTTGGTGGTCAATATCCTCAATGGAAGGTCTCCATTTTTTCCGGGTAAAGCTCCAATTGGAGGTCAACACCAACATTCCATTGTTTTGCAATTCTTTGCAGGTCACTTCACTATGTTTTCCATGGTAATTTAACATAGCTATGGAAAATCACCATTTTTAATGGGTAAATCCACTATAAATGGCAATTTTCAATAGCTATGTTAGTTTACCAGAGGGTATGTTTTCCATATGTTTTCAAGGGTCAAAATCCAATATGGATGTCGATGTTTATGCCAGTGAAACTGATTATGATTGATCCAAATGGCCATTGTTCATCCATTTTCATCCATTTTTTATACGTAAACCATCTATAAATGGGCCATTTTCATCCAGGTTCCTCATGTTTCTGCTGCAAAAATATCTGGCCCGGCACATGCCCAGGAGGTCCGCTGGTCGGACTGCTGGGGCGATGCCGTGATCGGTGATGGGGTGGCCACTGGTGAGTTGCATGGTGCCTTGGCGAAATCCTGGTGGATGCTGAATGATGTTGAATCTACCATCTGGTTATTTAACAGTTTGCCATGGAAAATCACCATTTTAAATAGGTAAAACCCAGGTAAACCATCTATAAATGGGCTATTTTCCATGGCTATGTTAAATAACCAGAGGGTATAGGAAACCATGGGATATGATATGATGGAAATATGTTGTATTATTGGCAACACGTGACATTCGGTGGCTTGATTTTGTTGGGAAAGTCTACATGAAACAAGTGTTACCATCTGGTTATTTAACATAGCCATGGAAAATCCCTGACATAAATGGAGGTTTATAGCTGGGAACATCATCTATAAACGGGCAAATTTCAATGGCTATGTTAAATAACCAGAGGGTAGATATATAATCCCATGATGATTTGTGATGAATTGTCATGTTTCATAGTATAAACCTGATATATAATCCCAGAAAAATAAGGTTAGATGTTGGTTAGTACCAACTATATTCGATGGTAGAATAGATGTTGAATTAATACATTATCATGACAGTGATCCCATTACATCAAGATCAATATTATAAACACTCATGGGGTAATCAATAGGAGATTTACAGTAAAGATCTTCAAACATATGTTGTATCCACATTCTTATATCAATGTAGTATAAATGGGCTAGTTGATGGGATATATAACGTATGTTGAAAAAGTTTTCTATTATTCGGTGATATTCCACTTTTTAAATGGAGTATCAACTGGGGATAAAAAGACAAGTTAGGCCATGTGATATTTTCATGTGGTAATATCACGGGGCACTCTGGTGTATTTTCTCATGGGATGATATATGATGATATCGGGTTTTTTTCATGGCGTTTTTCATGAGGACTTGACCATAATCAATATCGATCTACAACTAGGGGTATCCTGGTATCCTATTCATTGTATGAATTGGAGTAACCCATATAGAATTGGATTAGAACCACAACTCTGATATCTTTGACAATTTGAAGATGACCTGTTTTCAGGTGAAATATTGTAAGCCATCCAGATGAACTATTTTGGTGATTAGATTTACAATTACCAGGATCCCATGTGAGGATAGCCATGGTGTGTTGCTAGATGTTGATTCCAGAAATTCTGGCTACACCCGAGCATGGGTATGTCTAAAACCAAATTCCCAAGTGAACATTTCGAATATTTCAGTAGAGGACAGTATGATCAACTAGTGGAGTTTGGGGTTCCCTATTTTAAGACAAACCTGCATTGACTTTTCGGATATGTAAAGGGATTTCATGAATGGTGTGTGGTAGGGATAAGACGATTCCATTATTGCCGCATCAGCAATCAAAGGATATATTCTTAGGGATATAGTGCCTACTCGCTACCATTGTAGCAGGAACATGCTAACAAGGTTCAATAAGTCTAATGTGGAGATACCATATATACATAGATAAAGATTCAATCAACACATATGGATATTTAACCCAACAATGATGACTTAACTGACCACTGCATTTTGAACATGATATATATATATAATTATATACATATACATATGCATATATATATATATATATGTGCAATACAAACAGTTTTTTTGGTTGGGAAAACGATGATGTCCAAGAACGAAATTGTGACACCCAATTTTAAGGCAGACCCAAATGGTAGTATGAGGGTTTGGTAAATTATGTGGATGTAATGAGATATAACGGCCTTACTCAATAGCCTTGTCCGCATTAATTGGGTCACGAAACCAAAGCCAATTTGTGCAATGCCACAGCTCTACTTAAATGTAATTTCAAAAACCCTGGCAAAAAATGTGGTTTGGTAATCCTCTCTGGTAATTTCTTACTATTTGCCATGGACAATCACCTTTGACATACCAAAAATCATCAACTTCGATGGACGACCATGGCTTCCAGTTCCCATTGATATTCGATGGCTTTAAGCACCATTTTTCATGGTTAGATTCCAAGTTCCCTTACCTATGGTTGAGTTTCCACCCGTGGTACATAGAATTATGGTCATTTTATCAGGCCAGGCCAAGTCGGAAAATCTGGCTAAACATGATTTATGATGCTTACGTTAGTAAGTGCGGATATGATATCCCCAAGTCATGATAAATAGATATGAAATAGACATGATTTTTAACAATGAGATAAATGATATTGTGAAATTGATAGATTGATATCTATCCAAATCATTTCAATGTTCCTTGCTCTGAAGTAGATATGAAATAATATAGAATAGATGATGGCAAAGGAGGAAATGAATCACCCAGATATATTTCAGCACAAAATTTCACGTTGGCGAAATATGGCGTTTTCGCCTGACTGCTAGGGATACGCACACAAATCTAACCGCATTTTGTTGTGTTGCATTTTCATTTTTGTTGCTTCAAAATCCTGATACAAGACAAACTCTGGATTTCCAACAGAACCATTTTGACGATTACCCTCTGGTAAACGTTTACATAACTATGGAAAGATCCACCATTTTCAATGGGTAAATCATCCACTATTTCAATGGCCATTTTCCATAGCTATTTTGACATAACCAGAGGGTATATCAGGTCATGATTTTTCTCCCAGGATGGAAATTTATTGCATGTCCCACTGATCTGGTTGCATCTGGTGTTTTTTCAACGCAGGTTGCATGACCTACACGCACACCTTTGGCGCCCGCAACCGTTTCTGCGAGTTCAGCGCACCCATCTTGATGGACAACAAGCCGGCAGGTCGCCTGATGCCCTGGGATGACTCGCCGGAGATTTTCTGGGATGACGAAAATTGATGTTCAGTCATGTTCAGAGCTCAAAAGGATGATGAACATCCAATCCTAAGCCGTTGGTTGATTTTGCGTGGTGTGGTTGAAGGCTTGTAGTACATTAATGATGATGTTTTATTCATCAATATCCTATTTCTGGTGAGATCAAAACCATAGTACCAGGCTTTTGAATGATCCAGAAGCATTGGTCGAATGGAATTCAGAGGATTATCCCAATGAACCAGCTAGCTGGTTGGTGTGGGTTAAGATTGAACAGCTCAAAGATCTGTTGTTATGTACCTATGTAGTATGTAAATGTATATATATACATATACATATAATATATATATATACATATACATATATATATATATGTATATATATATATATGTTGGGCTGTCCATCCCCCAATATGACATTTGTATACATTTAAGTAAGATTGACTTAACCGGAGGTTTCAGTTATCACCAATCCTCCGGATACGTGGTCAACCATCTCTTGATTGCATTGAACATCCAGGAAATTGGGGATTCAGGGCTACTAAAACCCTCAAAACCCTTGGTGAATTGAACATATCCAGGAAATTCTTGGTGAATTGCTCTCGTAGGATGTCGTAGGTACATATCCCCTTGATCTCCCTATTCTACTTTTGAAAACCTGCTGTAGCTGATGGTTAACATTTCAACCAATGTGCATCGATGATCCCGATCACGAAGATTTCTGGAAAGCGTGAAAAAAACACCAATCAGCTACAGAGTTTTATATTGATTTGCATCCACATGTCACGTAAACGTTTCTTTTTAACTTTCCACCACTTGTTTTGAGATGTTTTGCTATGTTAAAACGTATAAAAACTTTCAATCACTTGCGTTGCTGTGCTTTCTGTTGAACAACGACACGTGGGTCTTCGTTCATCGAAGTCATCGAAGCGCCGAGCCGAGGCATTCTGGTGCGTTTGGATGCAAATGGCAAGCCCGAAGTCGATGGCAATTCCGACCTCTCAGGCGCAACGTTGGTGGATAGATAGGGTGGATACATGTGGATACCGTGTCTGATGAGGTTGAAGAAGTTGAATGCATCAGTTTTACTCATACTCTAGTATTGAGTAAAGTAAATATGGGTACTTTACTGTAGTGTGGTATAATATTGTATTGTTGGTTTTTACTATTAGTATTGAGTAGAATGAATGTTCGGATATTACTGCTATACAATATCCCTTTAAGTATTGTTGGTACATGTAGCTAGTCTTCAGCAAATGTGCACACATTCGATGAACATGTGGGACCATAGAATGGGAGTGTTTCGTATTAGGGAAAGGAATTATATATTTTTTGCTCCACTATATCCATCATTGTTGGTTTTATTTCATATCTTCCAGTGTATTCCATGTATCATTACTATTTTCATCTATTTTCATTTTCGCTACCGTTGTTTATTTCATGACTATATATATATAACAAGACTATCATTGCTATTGTTTTTATTCTGTATATTCCCCATATATTGGTAGCCCATTGGTAGCCCATTGGTATCCCATTCCAGGTTTGAAGGTGGTAGATGTGGTGGGCTGGGCTCCCACTGCCGACACCTTAGCCTTGGCGGAGAACAAGTGCACGAAGCAACGCTTCACCGGCTTCACCATGGTGAAGCCGACGGTGGACACAGGTTGGACACGGGTCGTTTTTTGGGTCGGGGGATGTCATGGGATGTCGGTAGTACGAACGGTGAGTCCAGTTCCGATTTCTGTGGTTGTGAATGTAGCCTCTGGTTATGTCAAAATAGCGAAAATGACCCAGTCGAAATAGTGGATTTTCCCATTTTTTCAATGGTGGATCTTTCCATCGTTTTTTGTACACCAGGCCGGGTACCCTCGGGATAGGGGAACACTTTGGGAAATCCACCATTTTTCCATGGAAAATCCCACGGCATCGGGGACTCATCCGTGGGATGAATACCATGAAATCTGGGGCACCCAGCATTTGAGGGTAGTTGCTAACTCAAAGAAACGTTGCTTACTGTAAGCAGCAAATAACAACGGAAATACGTGGCTCATTTTCCTAGTTAGTTAATTACTCAGGCTCATTGTCATCCTGATAAATTGGTTCTTTCGCTCACGCTGTAAATGTAAGCCCCAAGTATAGGCTAGCGAGTCCCTTTTCAACAAGGAAAATCATAATTCAGTCTGCCCAAATTGCAACTTTGGCTGTGTCAAACTCTTAAACCACATGTCATGTTGGTTTAATGTCCACTTCAGAGAACATTTGTCAGTTGCAGCAACCCACTGTTCAGTGAAATCAAGTCGTGTAGCCAATTCTATCCATTTGGATGATCATCCAGCCACAACTGGAGCTTCATCCAATGGATGACATCCCTAAATTCATTGGATGATCATCATTTTTCCATATGTTTCCCATATTTTCCCATTGAAAATAGTCTAATTGGAAGTGAATCATCATTTTTCCATATTTTCCCATATTTTCATCATTTTCTAATTGGAAGTGAATCCTTCTATGCCGCCAGGGAATGCAAACAACGACGCCCTGAAGACCTTGCTGGACGGAGGTGCGGACGCCATGTGGGTCTACGCCGACCAGGTGAAAAGCTACCAATGCGGCCCAGGTGCGGACGAACATATGGGGATGGGCAGGATGGGTCAAGATTCAGTACCCCAATACCCTCTGGTAAACATACAAAAAACTATCGAAAATCACCATGTTTAATGGGAAGATCCACTATCACTGGCCATTTTCAATAGCTATGTTTGTTTACCAGAGGGTACCCCAATAAATTGGATGGTTAACACCATTAATGGATATTAATAGATATAATTAGGGGGAAAAATGAACATCAATGCTAATATTTTATTGGACAATTTTCCGGATGTTGATACTGAAAATGGGCTTATATCAGTGATTTTGCAGGTCTTTAATTTTGACCCATACCCATATCTGCATGATCCATTTCATGATCTAACATGACCAAAAAATAGTTCAGGTCCAGATAAAAAGGTTGGACCTATATCTTTGTGATCCAAAATGATCTAACATTACACAAAGTGATCAAGACTGATCTATGTAAGGTGATCCAAAATGGAGTGGTTTTCAATTGTTTTCTATTTCTTTGGGGTGTGCAATTCTTGTAGAGGATTCTGCTGCACGATGCCGCCAAGGTGTCTCTCCCAACTGGGACTGCGACATGTGGGCACTCTTCGGCACCAAGTTTGCTTATGTCCAGACAGGTGACAGCTGGGGTGTACGTGGGACGATGATCCTATTTGACTGATAGTTTTGGGCTTGGCAGCACCAACCACAAAGAATATATATATAGAAACTAGATATTCAATTACAGGAACTTCATTGAATTCAATCAACTTTAAGGTTTTACACCTTTACACTCTGGATTGCGGCAAAATGGGCTGTTTCAGCTGGGAAAGAGCTCCTGGCACGTGCCAGGCTTGTTCGGCCATGCGAAAGCAGGCACAACCTTGGCCCTTTCAAAGAAAGGCTCTGGGTTCCCTGCTTGCAAAAAAGGGGCTGGTGATGAGGGAGGAGTGAGAAGACCCAGAGAACTATGGTTTTAGGGCTATTTTTGAGTGATTTTAATGATATTTTATGGCAGATTTCAACAATCAATGTTTGTTTGCAATTCTCACCCATCGGCTGGTAGATGAAAATCCATCAGTTGTACTCGTAGATGATTTACCCATTGAACACATGCCAGACCCGCACCATTTGCTACACGAAATTCGTTGAGGAAGAACATCCAATGTTTATTCGAGATCGCTACAACGTCTTACAACAACAAGGCAATTTCAAGCTCGTTTTTTTTTTGTCAACACCCCAGCACAGTATTGCAATGTTTGTTGCGAGAGTTAGCAAGTCACCAGGGTGGATCCTGAAGAGAAGCAAGGGGAACATCCGCTAGACTATCTCACTATGTGGATCCAGCCGGCTGAGGTTGGCAGAGATTCTGAACCCCTGTCTCTAATCCGCAGTGAAGAAACCTTTGGAATGGCTGTTTTGTGTGTGATTTTGATCTCTCTAATGGATTATCAATGATTATCTTACTGCTGCGTTTTACGTAGGGAATGGATTCCGAATGGATGGGGTGCTGGGGGTTGCTGGGATGATTATTACTAGTGATTCTGGATCATTCCCGAAAATTCCCTACGTTTAGCACCAGTAAGTTATCAACAATTAATGGGCTTTCCTATGGGGCATCCCCGAGGCACCATGGGTGTCAATACTAAGCCATGGCCGTCCATGTCTTGATTTGGGGTACCCCATTTTCGGAAACATGGTACCATGGTAACTTTGATGCTTCGCCGGCGGCTAGCCGTGTAGTTTCTTTGTTTTTTTTTTGTTTGGCTTTAGCACTGATCCACCTCAAATGAAAACTTTTCGCAGGGCAAACCACCAGGTCTGAAATCCAATCACCCACCCAAGATCCACAGTGTTAGACAGTCTATGTTGGAGGAAACATTGGTTGAGGTACCCCCTAATACTTGAACGTTACACGACATCTGTATGTATACTGTGCGCATATACTGCATGTACAATCGATATATTCTTTATTTTTTTCTTATATATTTATATTTATATGTATACGTATGCAGCATTGTATAGTATACAATTCCATTATTTCATTCCCCTTTACCACATATACAATTGAAGTTTCACAGAAAAATGGTCACCACAGTGGCTTTTCAAAGAAGGGCTGGGTGAATCTGGGTGCTGCATTTTTTTGCCAAGACGCCAAGGCATTGAGAAGTTCTTAAAGACCCAGGCATACTACGATATTTGCAAGAAGCACGGTTTTGAATCTTGGAATAATCTTGGATATCTATGGACTTTTTATGGATGTTCCGTTTTTCTTGGATCAGATGATCAGAGCTGGGTTTATGGATATTTTGCCCATGGTTTTCTTGGATCAGAGCTGGGGAGCTGGGTCAAAAAAGATCAAGCGGGTCGTCAGCAGCGGTTGAGCTAATTGTGAGGCTTCATCTCAACACCAGGATCCATCTATTCAGGTTGAATATCTCCAAGTCCTAAGATGGCGAGCGCTGTGGACTAAAGCAAGAACTGTGGTTTCAAAGATCTCTGAGTTTCTAATCTGACACTATAAAACTGCCAAAAAAGGGAGATTTTTGTTCCCCAACATACTGTGGATGGTTGCGAAATCCTGTACCAGTTGGTGGATAGTTTATCTCGTTGTAATCCCATTATATCCCATTATTTACAGTGTTTCATAACCAATAGATATACAATAGATACCAACTGGTGCAGGATTTCGCAACCATCCACAGCTGTAGCCAATGGCTTCACCAAGCGGCATCGATTCAGCAAAAAAAACCAGAGCCTGATGACACCAGGGAGTGAATCTTATGAAAATCTTGCGACCTCTAGCTGAGCGAAGTTAACATAATATATATATATATATATTATATACACATGTTTATTTGTTCATTTTCATTTACATTGTTTTTTAATCATTATATGTTCATTGCCAAAACGGGCTTTCGTTTGGATTTTCATTGGCATTTTCATTTGGCCTCATGGCATGTATCTTGTTCATGCTAATGCTTGCTGTGCTCCTCAGCCAAAATGTCTTGAGAAAAAATAATGTGGTACTTTCTGCAAAAGAAACAATTTGAATGTAACTGTGAACACGGCCAAGTACCAATGACCAATTACTCTGGTAATACTTTCCCAAGTATTAAACATGAATCTTAAGTATCAAGTATCCAGATTATCCAGTATTTACCCGCTATTGATTTTGCTTTATCATGGAATATCATGGACATATCATCATTTTCACTCGAAGAAACCATTTTCCTGGGGGTCACCCATATTCCACGACAACCACGACCAGGTCTCTGAGTTCGAAAAAAGTGTGTCTATCCTAGTGGCCATGAATCATGGGGATATGTCTTTGAGATATACTGCGTATACATACTCTTATAATATCTTGTATATATATATATATTATACTATATTTTGTAGCACTTACCCAGCTAAAGAAAAAATCAGCATTCTGGGGTGCCCTTTTTTTTTAGACGATCTTCCAGCATTCAACGCTTCTGAGGGGTCAGTCCCTCGCTTAGGCCTACGTTTTGGCTCGCTTAGGCCTACGTTTATGATATATGACTACAGTATCAATAGAACCATATATAGATGTATTTGAGCACTGTATTTCACGTGCCTTGACGGAGAGTTGAGAACGTATCGGGAACATTTTGCAAGTTACTTGAGGAATATAATACAAAGTATGAGGAACGTCTTGCATGTTACTGGACGAAGATGATACAACATACCAGGAACATCGTTCAAGGTTCTTGAAGAAGCTGTGACAACGTGCCAGGAACGTCTTGCAAGTTACTTGCAGAAGATTTCACAACGTATCAGGAACGTGTTGCAAGTCACTTGAAGAAGATGTTGCAACGTATCAGGAACATCTTGCAAATTACTTGAAGAAAAGTTTACAACGTATCAGGAAGGTCGTGCAAGTTACTTACAAGTAGGAAGATGTTGCAAGTATCAGGAAAGTCTTGCATGTTACTTGACGAAGATGCTACAACATACCAGGAACATCAGTCAAGGTTCCTGAAGAAGTTGTGACAACGTGCCAGGAACGTCTTGCAAGTTACTTGCAGAAGATTTCACAACGTATCAGGAACGTGTTGCAAGTCACTTGAAGAAGATGTTACAACGTAGCAGGAACATCTGGCAAGTTACTTGAAGAAAAGTTTACAATGTATCAGGAAGGTCGTGCAAGTTACTTACAAGTACGTTCCAATCTTTCCATTCTTCTGTATCCGTAAAGCCCGCAAGGCCCGTAAGGCCCGTAGAGCCCGTAAGGCCCGTAAGGCCCGCAGAGCCCGTAGAGCCCGTGGAGCCCGTGGAGCCTGTAGAGCCCGTGGAGCCCGTGGAGCCCGTGGAGCCCGTAGAGCCCGTGGAGCCCGTGGAGCCCGTGGAGCCCGTGGAGCCCGTGGAGCCCCTGAAGCCCGTGGACTAAGTGATCCCTTAACCTCCCCAAACCCACCCCATGTCCCACCCCAAGTGTCCCCACCTCATGTCCCACCCCAAGTGTCCCCAAGTGTTCCCTAAACCCACCCCAAGTGTCCCCAAATGTCCGCAAGTGTCCCCAAGTGTCCCCAAGTGTCCCCTAAACCCACCCCAAGTGTCCCCAAGTGTTAACCTAAAGGTCTGTACCCCATGGTGTTAACCCTGAAGTCAACATAAAAAATGTCGGCCTAAGTGAGCCAAAAAGTCGGCCTAAGTGAGCCTTTGGACCCTTCTGAGGAAGACAGCTGCTTCCCCAACGAGTTCTTCCCCAGCAGCAACGCCGCAACCTTGACCTGGGAGCTGCCAACGGATCAGCTGACCACCACCTGCGCGGATGGATATTGTCCCTGCCCAGCAGTGGTATAGATCAGATCTTCACAGCCAGCAGCTGGAAAAAAAACATGTTCCGTGTTTTAGTATTTTTTTTGATTGTGCTACATCTGGGGTTGAAACGGTGCTACTTGTGCTGGTATACTTTCTTTCTATAAAATATAATATATATATATATAATATTGTATTTCGATATCCAGTTAGAACAGATTCCGTTGTTCGCGTCGCTCTGGCAGAAGACTTTGGCAGACACGAGGAGTCCACGGCGTTTGTCGTTGGACTGGAAAACCAAAGCTGTCTGTGCAGCTGAAGATGAGACTGAAACATGATTTATCATGATTTATAGCTGGTTTCAGCTAGTTAATAAGTTTTAGCTGGTTCATCTAGTGATAAATCTGTCAATAATAATCTATTCCAATAATAGCTGGTTAATAAGCTCTTACAAACTTGCGGGTTGATGGTTAAATCCCGTGATTCACGGCGGATTGCAGTTCTGTTTTGGGAATTTCAACCTTAAGATTTTCACACTCACCCCATACTCACCCCAAACTGTCCTTTTAGTTGAGGAGCAACAAACCACCAATAATCACCAATGTGTGAAGTAGCAGGGATCTTTGCAGAAGATGTTCAAGCTGTTGCCTCTGTAAACCACAAAGTGAATGGTTGGTGAATGCACGAAACAGAGAAATGTACTATCCCCGCAAAAATAATCCCTTGTTACAAGAAAGCGTATTTTGGGTTAGCCATTTTACTATCCAACGTTCGGGTGACATCTGTCAAACGTTGATTCAAGCACTCAAAGAAGACAGATGAATGCTTCTTTGGGGTGAACATCCACCCTGACGTTTCAGTGTCACATCAGCACATGCCTCCCTTTTCGTTATGATATGGGAGGACCCCCAAAAATGTGGGGGTTGATCTACAGGACCGCCTTTTCTTAGACCGTTTGAAACGGTCGCGACACTGATAGTACCCACCTGTGGCTAAAAAGTATTGTGAAGTGTAGTAGTGAGACATTGGCCGGAAAAAACATCTTTGAAGGTTTCCCAAGTCATGGGAGTACCCCAATCATCCAAAAGTGGATATTTGGGATCGCCCATTTAAACGCCCAATGAATGGTACTTCAACACAGCACGGGTCACAACTATTGGCCAAACATCGGGATTAAACACCACATTTAACCAGATTAACCACCACAAACATGGCAATACTAAGATGCGAAAATGAATGAAAATGACCAAACTTGGTTTGTTTCTGGTTTGTGTTGAAAGATGTTTGATTGTCAACTTGTCAACCAAACTTAAAACATGGGATGATCGGGGCTTATTGATACCTGGGTGGTTTCGAACTCGGGCTGTCTCCATCACCGCATCCTACAAGGTGATGCAGTGATGCGAACGTTGGTTGAACAAAATCCTCTTGGGACTCAACTATAGATTTGCCATAGACCACAGTTAGCTTCTAAATCATAGTTAATCATAGTTAATCATATAGTTAACTTAGTTATGTTATGTTATGTTTGCCAACTTAGCTATCATTTGGAGCCGTAGCGATCCGTAGCGTGTGACTAAATCACGAGCCTTCTTAGGCGATTTTTCTCGTGCATCGCTGCATCGCCGTTTTGGCCCAAAAAAGAGAGATGTCATGAAATCGCAGCAAATCTCAACAGTTCAAACTGCGCAGAAATCTTCATCAGTCATTTCCCAGGTGAAGAAAAATCACACCTGTTGCGAATCCAACGCAGTGCCTAAAAGCCCGCCGGAAAGCGATTCCTCGTTGGTTCAAGATGAGGTGTGGACTGGACCCAAGGATGGGCTTTGTCATCTGCTTGACATCGAAGATCTTTGGAATCTAATATGGAGGCTACTTTTGGGAGCCCCAAAAGTATGAGTATCAATACTACAATGGTCTAACGATGTCTAACGACTTCCCATGATCCCCAAAGGGTCTTTTTCCCCAGTCACAGAGAGGGTTTTGAAAACAACCCCCAGTCACAGCTGATAGGATGGCTATGGGTCAAGAATCATAGCCCTTCAACGAACGCGACTCTTTCCTTGGTAAATCCGCATGAATTGCTGGTTAAACCACATGTTTTTTGCTGGTGAACCCACTTTCTAATTTGTTGAATCCGCTTGTCAGCTGGTCATATTCCTGAAGCGTGGGCCTTCCCATGCTGTGGCTGTGAAGTAAACCCATCAACCGTGGTGACAAACGTGAGAGCCATTGTAGTAATAGACCCCTGGTTGATTATCATAGCTCCATATTTCTCAATCAAACACGGATCATTTCTGCATAATATGCCCACGACTGCAGATTGAATCCCCATTTTGTGTGGGTGTATTACGTACCGTCAACCACCACTGGATGCATGTTTAGGGACATCGAAAACCTAATGGGTTTGAACATGACCAATCGTCACTTTTTTCTAGCCCAAATTTCACCAACCAAATCTAATCAAATCTTTCCTCTAATTTCACATACTAAAAGGACGAACACATGGTGATTTACGTATTAAAACCGGTGAGGTTCCAGTTCGCAACTGCCAAGATCCATCACATTACCAGCCAGGTACCAAAGGCCATATCTGCGGTGATCAAAGATGACAATTGAAAATTCCCCATTTATAGATATACCATCTGGTTATTTAACATAGCCATGGAAAATCCCTGAAAAATGGAGGTTTTAATGGGAAAATCATCTATAAATGGGCCATTTTCCATGGCTATGTTAAATAACCAGAGGGTAGACTTTTATAGATGATGTTCCCTTTAAAAGTATTAAACATATTAAAACATATAAAGCCTATGTTTTTACCCACCATTGATATGTCGATGATTTTCCACGTTTGATCACCAAAGGAAGGAATCCCACCATCACAGCCAGGTTCTCTCGCCTTGCTGTGGGGTTTGGTCTCTTTTCGCTCACCCTCTGGCTGCAAGGCACATGAAAAATGGCATAGATTTCCTACGGAGAACTCGAGATGAAGATCCTTTGGAAGAAGTGCAACACTTTTTCAATTAATGTTTCCTATGTTTAGTAAATTGAAGGTCAAACTTGAACAAAACATACCAAAACTTCGTTCACAAGAAGATCAGGCCTGAATTTTTGACCCAAAAACATCCAAAACCTGGTGAATTTCCTCCGACTGCAGCGTCGGTGACTTGAGTCTCTAGAGAAATGTATGGGATACGAAGCATGTTTTGCCGATATCCTGGGAAATCACTGATATATAGCAACGCAAATATGCCATGCATGATCATGCGTGGTGATGGTTTTGTTGCTCGTGGATAATTCCAGCAATCGCTTCATGTCCATATTGGACCCATCCCCACAAGGAAGGGATAAATTCTTGGAACATATGTTTTTGATGGTGAAAACAGGTGAAAGCCATGGAAACTCCACTATGTAAGGAACATGTTTCCCAAAAATCAGTCCATTGATGTCCATTGTTTCCACTCATTGGATAATATCCTTACCTATGCTAATCATATGAGGGTTTCCATAAATGGGGGTACCCCTAAATCATCCACTTTAATTGGATTTTCCCTTATAAACCATCCATTTGGGGGTACCCCCATTTATGGAAACCCCCATATGATAATCATTGACCCCAAAACGATATTTTTCTTCACCCGCATGAATCCATGGATATCCGTTACAGGTTGTGGTGGCGGCGGAGACGATGGCGATGGCGATGGAAACGCGAAGGGTTGCTGGCCGCAATGGTGCCAGGGATGGCCAGGGCCAAGGGGGAGGCGGTCAAAATGATCAATTGTGGGAAAGATTATGAATATAAATAATATTATGTATATATATAATTATATATATATACAACATACCTAGCCTCACCCAAAATGGCAGCAAGAAAGATGGTCATGGAAAAACTCTAAGATATTCTATATATATATTTTTTTTAAATGTTATATGTATAATCTTTTGTAACATCATGTTGTTCAGGCAACGAAAAGGTTGGGCGCATGCGGAAGACGATCGTCCTCGTCCCTGGAAGCTGGACCACAAGTCCAGAAGAAAAATATAGAACAGGACCATAGGATATATCTGGGTAAATTTCATCACGACCTCACTGTTCTCCCGACCCCTGGAAATCATGGTTTATGTTAGGGAAATCATCCCCTTTTATGGCCGCAAGATTCAGGTTAGTGAAATATTGTAATTTACCCAGATATATATAGGGAATATCCCATTATAGATTTTGAAACATGACCATTAATATTGAGGAATATCCCATTATAGAACCATAGTATATATATATATATAGAACTGATAGAACCATTACTTCACAAGAACAGAAAGAACACATAGAACCATGACCCTTTTTCTAGGCTATCCAAGGTTCCGCATGGATACACCCCTTTCCCCACTGAGCACACGCTAAGTCACCACCACGGAGCACGACCACGACCACGACGGTGACGACGAGACGACCATGGCCCCCACGACCATGGCCCCGACCACCACTACGACTACGACGACGCACGAGCACATGTGCGCTCCACCGCTTATGGAACCACCCATTCCTGGAGAATCTGAGCTGCAGTGATTTTGGGTGCTCTATCAGATTTTTCTGACGGGAAATTGATGGATGACGATGATCAAAGCGGATTCCAACATGGAGAATCATGGGAAGAACCGGATGATGTTGATTTTCTGCTGGGAGAGTGCTGTTCGACCTGGCAATGCTTGGCACCTTACTAAGTGGCCAAGTCATCAGTCGTTGATTGGTGGTTCATGTTTGCCGCTGCTTGGCAGTTTCAATTGAGTGCAAGACACCCCTCTTGCTTGATTATACCTGATTATACCTGTATAATCCTGTATATATGCACCATATATCATCATATATCTATATATTGGGGATTAATATATATCATCCATCATAATCCACTGGGAATCCCCCGTTCTTGACCAACCAAATGTCTCCAACCAACCGGTCAGTTGGATCAGTTGGGATCCGAATGATGAAAAAAGGTCATGCCGGGCCTGGAGAAACCGAAGATTATTCTCGGACAGGCCGAGCACCGGGGAATGTGCCTAAACTTGGTGGAAAAAAATGGGGATTTCAGCCACAAAGATGTGCCTAAACATGCTCATTTCATATGTACAGATTGGATATAAATAACATATAATATTATGTGTATATATATATATATTAATATAATAATATATATATATATATTATCTCTCCAAACTAATATCCAAATATGGTCGTGTCTGGAAATGGGGTACACTGTACCCCAATGTATGCATCAATGTTGGGGTAGTTTCTCTATTGTCAGACAAATTCAAATGGAAGAACATTTGGAAGTGTTTACATTGTTTCATCTAAATCCCATTTATTTTCTAGCTTTAGACACTGTGGCATCATTTTTTTGGGACTGAACATCCAAGTTTCCAGCCCAGATAGACAGAATATCAAACGGAAGGCAAAAGTTGACCCTCCACGTGCTTTGCAGCAATTGCCCATATGAGATGGTTGTTGTTTTAACTTTGATATGGAAAAACATCCATTTAGTAGCAAGATCCATGTGGAAGCACTAGCGTCAGGTTGGAAGACAAAAAAGGATCTCCCTCGGTCTGTGAAAAGGCCAAGTGTGCTAATCCCATATTCTCCATATCTCTCTGTGTGTGGTGTATTTACTTACACTTGGGGCATGTTTGATGTAAATGTGAAGACATATGTACAAGATCAATCCATGTGTGGAACATGTTTGTATTTTGCCAGAGTCAGAGTCAAAACTGCATGTATTTTGCACATGTCCATAGTCATGTGTTCCTTGCCATTGGGGCATTTGTCCAACAATCACCAATTAATTTCGGTCAACGGTTGATTCATGATTCTTTTTTGGCCAGAAATGGAGGAATGTAAGAAAGTTCACTAACAATCACTGTTTTAGATGCATCTAAAAGTCAACAACGATTGGGGTGTTTCGGAATGTGCTGCCAATGAATGTGCCAATCCCTGTAGATAGCTGCCAATCGCTGCCGTTGCAGGATGTGGATTGGCCCGGCTATGCACCTTGCTTCGACGAATTCGTGGGTAGTTGGGCATGGACTGGTTATGTCCCACTAACCAAAGCCTAGAGTTCCACCGCGGCTCTCAGTCAAAGATGCACCCCATAGCAAAAGGCCAACTTCAGGTGCCATGCTGGCACACTGTGGGCTTCCAAAACCTCCTTTTTCTGTAGGGCGAACCACAGCTTGGCGATGGGAATCATCTTTGTTGAGCATCATGTCATCATTTCGGTCCAAGATGTTAAGATGAACGATGGCCCGGGTTTGTCTGAACATGTCGAGAAAACCCCAAATTTCACTGTTTGATCATCACTTTCTTCACTCAAAAATGCCATAGCTTGGGGTATACCATGTTTTTTAATGGACCAACCTGTACCACCTGTACCCATTTGATCCCCAAATCAAGATGATCCCGGATGCTGGTCCCTGACTGACCTTCAACTACTCACCATTGTGATCTGGCGAAGTCCTAGCAATGATCCATTTAATCCATGTTTGTTGCTCCAATATCCTATCTACATACATATATGCATCCATCCATCCATCCATCCATCCATCCATCCATCCATCCATCCATCCATCCATCCAAGGCACATTACATATACTGTGTATACATATATGTATATGTATATGTATATGTATATGTATATGTATATAGGTATATGTCGTAGATTCCACTATATGGATATTGGTCTCTTGCTACCAGGCTCTTCCGCTTTCCGAGGCTTTCATGGGATCGCCCCCCGAGTCGGACTTTGAAACGGAGGGCATTGGAAAGGACATCGCCAAGGGCTTGGAAAGTGTCTGTTGCTGGGATGCACTGCGTTGAATTCGACAAAACGTTGGCCGTTGCTGGAAACACAAAAATCCTGGGATCTCCCAAGCATATAGGGTGACTACTCAGCCCCAAATATGGTGATACCCCTTACCCTCTGGTAATTTAACATAGCTATTGAAAATGAACCATTTATAGTTGATTTACCCATTAAAAATGGTGATTTTCCATAGCTTTTTGTATGTTTACCAGAGGGTAAACACCTGTTACACAGTGAGGTTTTCGCCGGTCGGTCACTGGTCCCATGGAGGTCACTTGATGACCAGAAGGGATGACAGAGACTGTATGGCTTAGTGGTTCCCTAAGCCTCCAAATATACCCGGCCTGGTAAACGTTTACATAACTATGGAAAGATCCACCATTTTTAATGGGAAAATCCACTATTTCTATGGCCATTTTCAATAGCTATGTGAGTTATTACCAGAGGGTACTGTATCAGATACCTTGGTGGAACCTAAACCCGAGTGTTCTGAGGGTCATTTAGATACCGAGTTAGAACATTTATACCATGGGTCATTCATATATTAGATACCAGGGTCTAGATCCCCATGTCACCGATTTATAAGTTGCTTTCTTCGTCAATTATATACTATAGAGATTGCATAAACACATTTTCCGACTATTGTAGTTAAGTAAACCCAACGTAGCTATCATACATCAGCTTTAAATGCCATGTAATCCCACATACAATTGCTGCTGAAATCACATGTTTTCCCATATATTTGGGGGCCCTCCATTACATGTGCCCCCATGATGTGGCACCGCAACGTGGCGGGGCACCCTTTTCAAGGTGACATCGAGGTGCACGTTACGGAGACTGGGCGGAGGTTTTGGGAGCTTTTGGATGGGGAGAAAAAATTCTCCACCAATCAGGATGTTTTTCGCAAACCAACAGCGTCAATTTTTGGCATCAAACATGTATTTGTGTGTTGTTTTTTCATGTTTTTTTGTGTTAGATGAATGTAAAGTATATCATATGATATCCAACATGTGGACTCAGTCAATATCTATTAATATCTATCAAGTGTCAAGAATTGCCGCCATAGCCATATCTATTAATCAATGCTATCACATCAGAATTCATTTTTTCAATGCTGCGGTGAAGATTCTGTGGTTCCAGGGTCCTCTATGGTTTATGATTGTCATAAGCATCACTAAGTTAGCTGCTGTTGGTATCCATAGTATTCTATAGCTGCTATAGATATAGTACCAACATCTACAAACCAGGAATCAGAACAAGCCAACAGACACTTTTTGGCACTTCAACCTGCATTCGAATTTTCCGGGATGTGAACAACAAATTTGGGGGATATAATTATGTACCTTGTGGTTATTTCACATAGCTATGGACAATCACCCAGTAAATCATGTTAAATCATCTTTTTTTATGGGCCATCAGTGCCCATAGCTATGTGAAAAACGGTATGTTTCAGCTCTTTTTTGGCCCACCATTGGAGGATCGTAAAGAAGGTACCCTCCGGTGCTGGGGAGTGGTCACCTCAAATTCACATCCCCATGTTGCCTGACATCCCCTCACTGAATGGTCTTTCAACATGGCAGAAATGGCAGAAATGGCAGAAATGGTTGGTGGTGCTGTAGGGCCCATTCACTTCTGAAAATTTTCCAGAATGGTGTAAGGGAAACATATATACATATATATATATATAAAACTCCGGAAAAACATCCTCCGGAAAAACATCGGTGATGAAGCCCATGGTTTATGGTTTCGATGTCCGAAAAACCGGCCGTTGTCAGAATTGTTCATATTTTTTTCATCACGAGAATTCAGAAACTGCTTTTAGTCTTGACACATTTTTGCGGCAAAACCGGCTATTGTTTTTTTGTTTCATCAACTCATCGAAGAATCCGATGTTTTTTTGGTGAAATAACTCAGATTATTCCTGGAAGAATAGTTAAGCAAAACAAATCGAACAACAAAAACCAGGATCTGGACACATCAAATATCATAAAATCATACAGATCTCACGATTATCCATCTTTGGTGGGCTTGAATGACTTAGTAAATGGCCGTCCGTCCCCTGAAGGAAGTTCGATGGTCGGACTGCTGGGGCAATGCCGTGATCGGTGACGGCCTAGCGGCTGGAGAGCTACATGGTGCCATGGCAGCAGTTTTCTCCACGGTTTCTGCCATATTCAGTGGTTAAATATGGTTAGATATATGGTTATGTCATGTTATATATATAGATATGGTTAAGGTTTGCTTAAATAATTAAATATATGGATATTCTCATTGGTTAAACTCCTATAGATTTGATGCGCACATCATCAAAACAAACATCAAAACCATGGCGATTCTTTTTGGTGATCTGGCGCATCCGCAGGTTGCATGACCTACACGCATACCTACGGTGCTCGCAATCGTTTCTGCGAGTTCAGTAAGCCCATCTTGAAGGACAACAAGCCGGGAGGTGCCGCAATGGGTGTCCGATGGGTGCTTCAACTGGAGGGCGCCTGAAGTCTTGTTGGGATACCAAAAATATACCATAGTTGTGATGATTCTGGATGAAGTTGGGTTGCAAAGTTTAAGACTTCCATGTATAGTCGAGATATGTATGATATTATATATATATATATATGTGTATGTATAAATAACTATAAACACATACATAGATACAAACGTACATACGTACAGTAGATTCATACAAACATGACATGACGTGACATGACATGACATACCCCGACACAGACATGCATACATAGATGTATACTAGTCAGTAAGACAAGAAATAAATGCAGGATATATCGAAGATGAACCATGTTTATAAAGGAATCAACGGATTCAATGGGAATTCGTCAGTTCACCCTGGTACCTCAATGTACCTTGATCTTTTACATCTCATAAAAATTCTTCAAAATGAAACCCATCAAGATATTTTTGTTTTCCCAATAAGTTTCCCCAAAGTTTCACCCATTTCTGGACATCATTGGGTCCAAAAATTTTGGGGGCACAATGACTTAGCCTCGCCTCGGCAGGCATTCTGGTGAAATTGGACGAATTTGGCGACCCAGTTGTCACTGGCGATTCGGATCTCAGCGGTTTCTCGGTGCGACGATCTTAAGATAGCCATGGTATAGATGACCCATAGAAATAGAGGATTTTCCCAGCTAGAAACCTCCATTTATCAGGGATTTTCCATGGCTATGTTAGTCATAACCAGATGGTAAGATATACTGACCCCCAAAAAAAGGATAGCATCAAAATCCTATAGTAAAATATCGTGGTAACTCTGTCTGAAATGAAACTTTGCTGGGTTGCTACAAAAGGGTGTTAGTAGGGCTTAAGTTTCGTGAGTGTAACAGGCTTTTATTCCAGATGAGGAAGTTCCACCATGAACTGGTCGGAATTTCTGTGTCCCAGCTGTGGCCTTGGAATTTCTGTGTCCAAATATGGTGGTTTCCTAAAATAGGGGTACCCATGGGTACCCCAAATCATCCTTTTTAATAGGCTTTTCCATTAACCATCCATTTTGGGGGTACCACCATTCATGGAAACCCCCAAATGGGGTCAAAGATTATAAGATTCATAGTGCTAAAGGATGCCTCTAGGCGCCATTGCCAATGGATCTATCGCAATTTTGGGCACTTCAAACTTCAATCCCTACTTTGCCCGCTTCAATCCCCTCATGGCCAGTTCAAATCCATTTTCTCCAGTTTGTTTGTCTCCATTCTTGCTGCTTTCATCACCATTTCGCCGAACTCTTCATCGAGGTAAGAAGGTGGTTGACGTGGTGGGCTGGGCCCCCACCGCGGATACCTTGGCTCTGGCGGAGAACAAGTGCACGAAGCAACGCTTCCAGGGATACACCATAGTTCAGCCAACGGTCAACACAGGCCATGGCCCAGTGCCCTTTTATGATCCTGTCGGAATGGTCGGGAAAAATATGGGATACCACAGTTTCAGTTTTTTTTGTCTGAAAATGGGGATAACCGTGGATAACCACTATATAATTTACTTTCTTCGAGTGAACATAGTTTCCGACTTACCATGCGGAAGTATATATGGCATAATATATATATATGGCATAATATATATATATGGCATAATATATATATAGTAATATATATATATATACAGTAATACATAATTATATATATATGTATTCTGACACTCTTTCTGGCATTCTTTCTGATACTCTTTCTGGCATTCTTTCTGGCATGTGTTTTGACATTCTTCTGGCATCTATTCTGGCATTCTATCTGGCATCTATTCTGACATTCAATCTGGCATGAGTTCGGGTCCAGCCGTGCCCAGCTGCATCCGGAGCTCGCGATATGGTTCGGATCCGTTCATGCCCACAGTCAATATAAGCTGGCAGAGGAAGAAGAAGACAACGAGGAGGAGAAGAAGGTGGAGAAGAAGGACGGAGTTGCACCTTTGTTAAAATCTAGAGACCCTCACCTGGCAGGTGGGGAAAAATGGCAGTTTTCATGGTAAAGAAACAATGGAAAACTAAGGTTTTAAACCTATTTTCAGACGAAGCCGTGTAGGAAATGCCATGATTGGCATGGGTCAAATGAGGCAGGTTGATGGTTGGTTGTTTTCCGACACCTTGCTGATCACCGCCGTGAGTTTAAGGAGATCAGATAGATGAGCCACTGAGAGTCACTGATTCAACAACTTTAAACAACTATGGTTCATTGGAACATGGCCCCTGGAAAAGGATACTCATAATAGTTTCAAATAAAACTGCAACATGTGTGGGTTTGCCACTTCCATGATCATTTCCAAGAGATTCAACTAAGGTCCCAGTCTTTGACTGTGCACGCCAGTATCACCGATTGATACATGGGACAACCCCCAGTTGGGACCTCCAATTCTGAGTTGGTCTATAAACCCATCTGATCATCTAAATATCGTTGTATCTACCATGAACCAGTCACTAAACCTAATTATAAACCAACAGAAATCTATCATCAATATAGTAATAGTTTATAAATCTGAATTTTACTTGCTCAAATCCCAATTCTTAGTCCAATCCTTGGTGGAATGTACTCTACCAGACGCTACCAACTGGATTGCAGCAGGCAACGCCAACAACGATGCGCTCAAGACTTTGCTGGACGGTGACGCTGATGCCATGTGGGTCTACGCAGACCAGGCCGGTTGAAGTCCTCGGCCCGAGCGGTTGCCGCAACTGGTACATGATTTTAGGCATTGCAATTGGTCGTCAAATCCCTGCTGGAGTTCCATCCGGCAGCAGTTCCATCGGGGAGTTTCGGTTGAACATGTTGGACAAGGCCATGGATTTTTTCATTGAATCATGATTCATGTGCTAAACCCAATGCCATAAACCATCCTAATTACGATAAAATTGATGAATAGGTACCGGTAGAATAGTTTAAAATCAATAAAACATCCCCCCAAGAGTAGGTTTATGGCATTGGGTTTACCCCATGACCCTCTTGCAAACATCTAAAAAACTACGGAAATCTATGGTTATTTTTTCTGCAGCAAACTCTTAGTTTACCAGAGGGTATCCCATTAATATCCCATAATCCCAGTTGATATCCCATTAAACCATATTAAACCACCATTTTGTTGGTAAAACGGCCATAACTTTGGGTATCTCTTATCTCCCAGCATAACCTGAGTCAATCTCCAAGTGACACGATGGCGCAACTGGGTTTAGCGACCCAAAACACAGAAGATGGTTAGTTTAAAGGGAACCATCCCCAAAAATAACATCTCTATAACTATAATATGTGTATTTGCATATATATATATATACACGTATATATATATATATACATACATACATACATGTTTTTTCTGCAAAATAAAGTATAATAATGGCAACCTCGGACGAATAGATAATAGTAACTTCCCTATCTCGGTCAACAAGGTCAACCAGGTCCAGAGATCAAGAGATCACCAGCCCGAATTAATGAATCCAGCCATTGGTGATGACGAAATCTGCTGGAATTCGGTGATCAGGTTGGCATTAACATCCCTCAAGGGTCACCTGGGATGATGAAATCAGCTGGATAGCATCATAGGTTGGCATCTATGAGGGTATGATGAACTTTGGGTTTTATTAATAGGTTTTATGAAAATTCTAACTTGACATCTTGACATTAGTCCGTCAAGGAAGATTTAAGGGTGTCTCTCGTTACACTAGCGTTAGACTAGCGTCCATCCATGACAGCAATTTTCTCAGGGTGAAATCTGGTCTGCACAGGTTAAGCAATATCAGTGTGGTCCAGGCGCGAGTGAGCTGGGGATGTACAATGTAGCATCATCTTATAGGGAAACTATCGCTGTTTTTTAGGTAAAACCCAAAAGGATAGACACGAAACAAAGTAATGCTTGAAATATTGTTAATCATAGGGAATCCATCACCAATGGTGATTTGCATAGCCTGAAACCACTATGTGCAGGGATTTTCCTGGAACCACCATTGATTCCCGCGGGGCGCTACACCACTGCCAACCACACGTTCAATGGCAATGTTTTTTCAAGCACGAGGGAGAAGGACAAGTTTCTGTGGACATTTCGGTGGGCCACTAGTTCTGACTCCATGTTTTAAAGTTTCGCAGACAGTATCTTTCTTTTGTCGCTCTATGGCAGAGCCAAAACAGATACACTGATTGTGCATGTTGGCACCACTTTGATCTCCACAAGTTGGGACACACTATGATTGTACCTGGTTGTTCCTACTCATTAAATTGATTATGATTCATAGAATTGTATACGTATACACATACACGCATACACAGTTGTTCTTGGGTGGATCTTCACGACATGATTCACAGTGTCTTTGATCTCTGGAATTTCGCATGGATGGACCATGAAATTGCTGTCAGATCCAGTCGTTGCTCCATTTTAGATGATGAATTTTCTTTGGGGGACGGTCAGGGCAAGTTCTGCTTGTTTTTCATGGAGAATCAGAAAAGGACATGGTTCAAAACTGTTGCCCCCCAAAATTTGTTGAAGTTTCAGATCCTAAAAATCACCCGCAGACAGTGCCTTCGTTGTGACACTTCTTCCGAAGACAGGAGTGACTGCCAACTGGGACTGTGACATGTGGGCGGGTTTCGGCACCAATTTCTCCTACATCCAAACAGGCGCCGGTTGTCCAGTTCAGCGTCCGTGTCCATGGCGATGGTCTATCGTGTCTAATGTTACTATAACCCACTGGTTGGTGGTGACTGGAACCATGGAATTTTAGAAGAATTTCCAGAAACAGTTGGGAATTTCATCATACCAACTGTTACTCACTCCATCATTTTTCAGAGGTAGGTATTAATCACTAGCCCACCTATGGTTTACAGCAGCGTCAATTTGGAAATCCTATTGCTCGCCATTCGCCAGGGGCGAGCTCAAGTTACATGTGGATTAGATACGTTTTTAAACGTCACTGGGAATGAAAACGGGTAAATTGCGGTGAGTTTTTTGTCGGAAAAACACATCTTCTGAGATATTTGCGTTGTAGCTGGATATAGCTGGGAGATACTTGATGTTGGAGGTAAAGAAAATCAAGGATTGCGATTTTCACCCACCATCCGTAAGCAGGCCTCTGCAAACCTGCAAACGGCTGAGTATGCTCTTCGTGATGTTTTTTAAAAAGTCTTCTGCGAAGTCAAGTTTTTCGTTGAAGACCACCAAAAGATGGAAACTCATAAAGTTAGTGGAAATTTCAGGATCCTAAAATGGAGGATATCCCCTTACATAGGCCTAAACAATAGGCCTTTTTTTTTTTTAGTAGGTACCTCCAATTTAGGTTCCTGACATCGCCATTGATAAAGTTGTTGTTTGTTTTGCCAATTTGGAATACGTATCACCATCCCAAGATATCCCAAGTTCCCATTAAAAAATAACATCGATCTCTAGAGTTAGGATTGAAGACGAGTATTGGTAGGAGAAGGCTACATCCTATTCACCTGCATTGATATGTATCCCACTTATAACATCACAACATGACTTTCCTATGATATATTCATGTCGGATTATGGTGTATTTTTACTTTATATCTAAAAAATACTCTGTCTGAAGTTGGGGTATACCACCAATTTAATTTGAATAGAGACAATTATCGGATATGATGATCAATTATCAGATCGATTGAGGGTTTCACATATATTTATTATATTATATTATTACTGTTATTGTAATTATTGTTGTTATTACTATGTTTGTTATATATTAGCATTACCATTGTTATTATTGTTGTTATTACTATTGTTGTTATTTATCAGCATTATTATTATTATTGTTATTATTATTGTTTATTATTGTTATATCATTATATTATATATCATCCCCTGAGACTCCATGATGGCAAATATTTACAACATTGAAATGTACCACAAAAATCAACTACAATGAGCTTGTTAGCGTATTATGCATACATTCGTTAAATATGGTGATATCGGTTTATCGAACATGGCCATTTCTGATGTATGAAAGCCACATAGTATACAATGGTCTATACATGTTCTGCTGCATGCCCTCAGCAGCCATTTTACCTTGTAAACCGAACATCCATGCCACCGTGGGTGGTAACTGTGCTTCTGTGGGCTACGCTCTTGAGCTGGTACTGGCCTCATTTCGCCGTATGATGTTAATTGAGTTGACATTTTATTATTGTGGGTTGTTAAAACATATAGTCCACGTCAGGTCACCACATGCATTGATGAAAAGATCTTGGATATCAAGTCTGGCTCTCAGAAAATTGTTCAATGCCAGTTAGTTGAATACCAATTTTGGTTTTAATCTCCCTAGTTTTGTGCCTTGGGCTCGGTTAGGCCAATGGGGTCCGCAATCTACTTCGACGGCCAAGTGGCTGAAACCTGGTACGCCGCCCCCTGCCCTGCTGGGATAATCTGTTCATTTTTGTGGTACTTTTCAAAGAAGTAAATATTTGCCATCATGGAGTCTCAGGGAGGGATACATTGCAATTTGGATTGGTGCATTAAATACCCCAAGAACATTTGAACATTCAGTACAAATTTGCCCAGGGTTGTAATCTTTAACTAGGCCATGTCCTGTGCCTCCTTATGCTGCACTGCCCGCACTGCATTTTGTTCTGAGATCAAGGTCGGTATAGGTCTTTGGCCAGTCTTTTGTGTTGCCTCGCGATGCCGACGCTGAGTAAATGCAAAGCTGTCAGGACCCAAACAAAAAACTTTGTCATCTAGTGGGAAAACAATGACGCTTGCTTGCTAAGGATGAAAACCCCTCGGTTGTGATGCTAAAGGACTGACCAAAATGTGATGATATTGCAATTGTACGTATGTGATTTCGTCCTACATGTGGATAACCGATGCCAGGATGTGGTGACCAGCTATGTACTGGGACCCGACTTTAGCCTTAAGGATTTGCGCTGTCACAAAAACAGAGCAAAGCCATTCTTTGACATGACCCGTGCTGACTCTCCATCTTCAGTGTTTGCCCTTGAAGATAATTTTGGCTTTGTGCTCACGTTGGCCGTGACCTATGCTCCGGATGGGTGTTTCCCACCACATTCTCACTTCAAGGTGCGCATGCGTGAGTGTACAGCTGTACCAACACCTAGCAATGCTAACAGTGATGTTCACTATCTAAGATGCAAGTGTGGATGTTTGAATTATTGCTAGATGCATTGAACTGATACCATGCATGGCCCCATGATGAATAACTCGCTGGACTTCACATAAACCATTTGGGATTGTACAAATGTTGTCATGCCCCATGTTCCTATCAGGAAGTCTTTGTGGATATGGCCGACACCTATGGCATCTTCCCTGAGCGCACTATGCGCAGAGTTGTGAAGGATATCACAATTGATTCTTTACCCCAATGCTCTATGTATGGAATATTTATCCACATTTAGGGTATTTTGGGGTAATTGTAGGTAAATATTCCATATATACATGGAGCATGTGGGTTAGGCAATTGTGGTTTTCACACATTATTACACTCAAATCTGAACCGCCTTAAAGTTTCCTCGTGGGCCAGGACTGGGCACACTACACTGGTGGTCAAGCCAGGGCTATGGGAATCCATGCCTTGAATCTTGCTGGGAGGAGTGAGGGAACAAGGTGGCCCTGAAATTTCATCAGTTCTGCCCAGCATGTATGTCCAAATCACAAAAGAGTGTTGAATGAACATAGGTGTTTGTTTTATGTTGGTGTTCATGTGGAAAACACTCTGGCCGGAAGGTCAGAAAAAGTCGCACTGCTGAAGAAGGCAATCCACATGGCTCTTGTGGAAGGCCACCATTCTTGTAGGGCCAACTTGAAACTCAATATTTAATTATGTGTGCATATATAGCTTTTTCTAGACCATAACCCCATATTATATAGAACTTGAACCCATCCCAGCCCATGAGCGGCCGGTACCTTCGATCCCGTTCCATCTTTCACGGCAGGTGCTGCACCTCATGAAGCAGGGCGGGACCCTGTGGACTTGGCGAAGCAACGGTTTGAGAAAGTACTCCGGCAGGTGGAACCCTTGCCACCCTCTTACTTTGAATTTGCCTCAGGGTGGTGCCCCCTAGTTATAACTTAAGAGTTTAAGGCTTGGTTTGTAAACCTATATGAGGTTTAAATTTAGTGACTAGTTGCTTGGAAACTATGAATCAAGGTACCTATATACTATTACTATAACTATGGGGCACCACAATGTGTGATAGACCACCCTGGTGATTTGAGATGGTGGAAAGTGCAGGATATGATCCAGCATGTGAACTCCGTAGCTGAACTCTCATCATCTGGGTCGGAGCAGGATCAGGCAAGGGCATGTCGCTCTTTGTATTGATATTCAATTCAAACCAAAAAAATACCTATATATATAATTCAGTAATTCAGATAAGACAACCTTTGCAGGATATGGCCAAGGGGAACAACTTGGAGAAGCCAGAAGCCATCGAAGTGACCAAGGCAGGAAACACCAAGTCAAACTACAGTAAGTGTTAGAAGTTTATTTATGTACATATATTTTTTTATTGGCTTGGAAAAAAACTAACTTGATATTTAATCATGGTAAATCATGGTGACAAAGTAACCAGTGTTTCAATCCCAATCTGGATATCGTCCATTGCAGGCTGAACCTGATGCGGGGGACAAGAAGGACACGCAAGCCATTCCCAACCTTCCGAAGGCAAGTCCTACACTAGTCAACTTAGTCAAGGTTTTGGTTTTAATCTTCAATGGTGCTCATTCCATTTGATCAAAACAAGATCTACATGTATGCATGATGATCAAACAAACATTGCTGTAGTAATATAGTGTAGTGCTGTCAATTAATTCCATTAAGATCCACTTAGTTGCAGGCCCAACCGAATGTGGAGAACAAGAAGAAGGAGCTGGCAACTCCAAGTCTTCCCGAGGCAGGTGATACCCTGATTCGATGCTCCAAGGAACCAAGATTCTGTTCTGTTTAACTTTGGGTTAGTCGTTTGGGTTGGCTCAGAGGATCACATGTCTGATGTTGTCCCATTCAAGGGGTACCTCAACTTTTTTGGCTAGGTTTTTGGGTGCTAAGGAAACCCTTTTTTTGGTGGGAAAACCTGTCAAGAAACATGTGAAGTTTAGCCCTGGCCGGGTAAGTTGTGGCCATGGCATGCCAGGCCCCGGATGTCACTGCCGACAAGGTGGATGGGTGCTTGGGCAATCGCCAGGTAGCGAAGGATACCATGCATGCATGATCAGTGTGAGCGGAGATCATCTATTTTTAAACTTATATATATATATATATGTATGAATATATTTGTTACCCTTAAGGATCATTACATGGATATCATCATGAATGCCATGCTGACCTATAAGTGATCAATACTGTGCTGATGTACTGCCTGGAGCCTGTATAGGTATAGAATGGTAAATATATGTTGTTTATGCATGGTATTTTCTCCTGCGCAGGAGAAACATCCACTTCTGCCTTCCCCCATTGTGACCACACCGGGTCTTCCGGACCAAGCTGCGGTACTGACCGAGAAGCTTGCTGCTGTGAAAGATGGGGGTGACCTGCTTGCGGCGCAGAACAAGGTTCAAACTCATGATGTTCAAATCTTAAAAGTTTTAACTGCAAGCCTTGTATATACAAATATAAATATATATATATATTAATTATATATATATATATAGTATGATCAGGAAACAACCTTGTGACGTTCAAATTAAAACAAAATTTGTGCACATGCCTCTTCCTACGTCAAACTTTTTGGGAGGTGATGAAAGCTGTGCTCCGTGGATCTAAGAGGCCATCGGAAGAGGGTCAGGCAGAACCGCAGGAGAATGAAAATGGGGAACCTCTCAAAGTGAAGAAACCCAGGGGGGCAGCGAAAGCTGCAGCAGCCAAGGCAGCAGGCAAACCAGCAACAGCGGTGAAAGCTGCAGCCAAGAAGAGAAACAAACCCACAGGCCATGGAGAGGCTAGTGCAGCTAGTCCTGCAGACCATGGAGAGGTTAGTGCAGCTAGTCCTAGTGATGCTAAGCCCGATGAGGATGGAGGGGGTGATGATGGCACCAAACCGTTGACGGTGAAAGAACAGTGGGATTTGAAGGACAGGGTCTGGTTAACGTTGTATTCGATATCATTTCGCAAATTGGATTTTGTTAATGCCAAACAACTACTGCCATGGTGGAATGGGGGAATGTCTCAAAATAGGGGGTGCCCGAAACTTTATAAAAATTTTAATAATTAATAAAAGGGTAGAAAACAAAGTTTCGGGCACCCCTATTTTAAGACATTCCCATGTTTATTGTAATGAATATTTTGATGTTGTTCTTGCCGTACAGGAGCCCAAGCTGAAGGCTGTGGGCATCCCCATTCCGGATTCGGCGGGTTCAAAGCAGAGCTTCACAATTTACCCAGAGGGTGATGGTGATGCATCAAGCATCCAAATCCTGTGATGTCCTCAATGTTGATTTCAAAACACCAGTGTGTCTATTGGGGTCCTTTTCTGAAAACTTTATGGTCCCTTCATGCGCTGCTGCATCCTTCCCGTATTGCTCAGGTGGGCAGTTGATCAGCTGTATGTGAATGCGGCCAAGGGCAAGCTCAGCCCTGGCATCAAACATAATGCCAAAGGTGGAGTGACCCTGTCGGTGCTCAAGTATGGGGGGTGGGCTGATACGTTTGCCTTGGCACGCCAAATTGCCAACTGGCCGACTCCGACTGTTGAACCTGGCCATATGTAGATACTTTATTTAAGCACTTGGCCTGGTAGCTGTTTGAACACGTCTGTGTAAAGCTCACCGCATTCTTTTGAGATGGTTCAAAAATTCAGCATGCTGTTCAACACAACTTATGTTTGCGTAGAATGTTTTCCCGTGAGGGGTGCCGTGGGCGTGTTGAGCTTCGGGACAATAGCACCAGAGAAGCTTGTTTTTCTGGGTGTGGCATTGCGCCACTGTCTACGGATGACCTGAGCTGGGGTCTGGGGCAAGATCCAAAATGTTGATTTGATGTGCAATGAGGCAACTTATGTATACACATGTTGCATTGAGTGTGTATTGCTGTGATCTTAGGTGTTCCCTGCACATGGCACACCAAACCGACTTGAAATTGCGTTCCATTTGGCTAGCATTTTGGCACTGGACATACCTAGCTGCGATTGGTGCACCATTTCCCACAGTCATGCCTCGACGTGGGATAAAACTATCAGCTAGGGAATGTTGTTTCCTTTTGTGGCTTGGGCTGCCGGCCTTACTGCACCTTGTCATCCTTTAAGCTTCGTCTACAGCACAGTGTACACAGGTGTGACATGCATCTGCATTTACAAATTAAAAGGTGTTTACTGTTTTCATCTTGGGATGATGTTTGTCCCCAAGGATCCATGTTGCTGACTATATAGACCAATGTGATCCGGGAGGTCAGTGGCAACGTGTGGCCTACCTGCATGGATGATGGTAGTTAGCTGGTTGGATAAGTACTAGTGCAACACTCCTGTACAAGTAATTGAACCACATTGAGCCATTTACCATTGAGGACCTGGTGCTACTTGAGCTATTCAGCGGAGAAGCTGAATTGACAAGTGCCTTCCGGGGGGTCCCCGATCACATTAGTTTAAACATGGATATAATTACATGTTCCCCCTTCCGGTGTGTGGCTCAGTGTGATGGTGGGACATCAGTGTCTGATCCTGTTGGACCTTTAGGCAATGGTATGATCTCAAGCATCGAGGCCCTGAGAATGATTTCACTTCAACTACAGGATTTCTTGTTGCTGTTCGAGATTGCCTCCGGCTTCGGCCGGGTGGCCTTTTGTGGGGTGGGATACCCTGTGCCTCGCACCTAGGTTAAAACCATTCATGGTTTGGCTAGTAATGGAAACATACTCAAGGATCTTTATTCAGCTTGTTTGTTGTACATGAGGACAGTAGCCATTCCATGGTCCCAAGTCTCAGCAAGGTATGTATGGATGAGCAGTTCTTTGCATGGCCGATATGGATGCGTACTGGGTGACAGCCGTCCCCTAGATATCTATTAGTTTTGTGGTTCCCAACTCACCACATGGGTCTAGAAAAAACTGGCACCCTGAGGCCAGGCCTTTGTCCACCTGGGAAACATCTGCGCAGCAAGGTTTGCGATGTTGGCAGCCTTAGCGCTGTCGGTTGGTGCCCACTTCTGCGTTGCTTGACCACCCAAGAGGATTTATACATCAAAGGTTGAAACCTATATATGTTTAGTTTGTTATGTCGATGTCATGACACCTTAATTTTTATCGAGATAATATGGGTTCAAACAAAACTATTACACATATCAGTCTAGTATGAGCCCCAGCGGATCCATAATGGGGGGGGGTTCCACAGTGTGCTTGAATGGCCACCCACTTACCAAACAATAAGCTTCAAAACATATATATATATATATGGGTACACTTGGGTAACCCCTCAATTACCAAGTTGGGCGGCAACCTAAAAACCAAAATGTATCGATGGTCATCCAGAAATACTAGCTCACTATAATGAGAGATTGATGTTTTGGAGTTTGCTCAGGTAGAGCAACCATCGTCAAGCCAGTTGGTGCACTTCCCATACATGCAGTGGCTGTGGTTCCTGCGGTGCAAGACCCCAACGCTGTTCCAACGTTTGACCTTTGTCTCAAGCTTGTATAAGTTCAATGCTGCGGTGCAAGACCCCAATGTTGTGGTGTAGCCACCCTGCAACTAAGTTGGATGGCAAACTACGGAGCATGGTGCATGAAACCTTCATGGCTTTGTGGCTCCACGTCTAGTCCTTACTTACCAGTACTAGTTTTCTTTAATCTCATGGATGTTGACTTGTGTTTGATCTTCAAGTTGAATGGTCTGTTCTCAGGTCTTGGATTGCCAATTTATCCCGACAACTGGACCCTGCAAAGAAGTTGGCCATCCAAGAGAAGGGTTCTGGCTCTGGTATGGTAAAAAAACAATATCCAAAGAGGGTCGGCACATAGTGTCCATAACTCAGTTTTTGAATGTGTTTGATGATTGGTGTTTGACTGGCTTTCCCAAGATCCACTGATCCTCTCCCTACTTACCCTCCCCCCACTTGCTTTGCAGGTCAGGAGGCCCTGCGCTTTCCAAATCAGCTGCATACCCACGATGCTTCGCGGACTGGGTGGCTGATGAGCACTTGGTTGCCTGGAGCAATCTTATAGGGCCCTTGGGTCCAGTGATGTTGATGGAAGAAATCCTGCGCACATATTGGATTTATATTGGCTATATAACTGGTCATCCATTCTTATACTATATATTAATGTTTTTGTGTAACACCATATTCGAGATCAAAATGTATAATTATATGCAGGATTCCGGCCATCAACAGTAGGGGGTTTAGGTGCTCTAGTGCCAATCCAATCACCTTGGGGAAATGCTGCAGTCATACTTAAAACGATGAATCTTAGCAACCAGGTTGAATCCCTCAAATGGTGTTAATTGTTGCCCCACTAGTTGGTTACTGGGGGTGTGGGGTATGAACCAAGCTTTATATAAGGATTTATGATCATATAATCATATATGTTTCTGGGATGTGTTCGATCGACGAAAGGGTGGTGATTTGATGCACTGTGGCTCCATAGAGTCAATGTAGGGCCATGCTCATCCATTGCGCCAACCAGTTCTCTCAATTGGGGGCCAATGCCCTGTCCCTGAAATTTGGGCAGCACAACCAAACGGGCTTCCCGTATGGTCATTGCACCCGCTTGAATGTAAACGGCATGAAAGCCGACCAACTCATCCAGCTTGTCCCGTCTGATCAACTCTGCATGGAAGTTGGGGGCAACCTTCACCCTCATGTAGTGGTGAGCGGCAAAATTGCTCTTCCGTCCGCAAATGGTGACACCAGTACCAGTGTGGCCCAGCAGGACATCATTATACAGTACTATCGATGTGTTTTTTTTGAGGTCTTATTTATAATGGGCTAATGGATACCATCCCAAACTAATTAACCGATCGAATGCATGCCCCCTCCTTTCGATTGGTGTTGTGTTGTTGTTGTTGTTGGTGGTGTTGTTGTTGTTGTTGTTGCTGTTGTTGTTGCTGTTGCTGTTGCTGTTGCTGTTGTTGTTGTTGTTGTTGTTGTTGTTGTTGTTGTTGTTGTTGTTGTTGTTGTTGTTGTTGTTAGAACAAGTTCATTTTTTTATTCCGATGGTTTTTGATTGAGTAAGTTGTTGTTTCATGTTGTTGTTCCTGTTGTTGTTTCTGTTGTGGTGATGGTTGCCTGTATATCGTTTTTGGTGTCTATTTGGTTGTATAATATATGTATAAAAAAATATATATATATACATTATATTTATTAAAAGAATCAGTTACTATTCACCAACGCCTCTGCTGCAAGGCATGTGATGGATCAGTACCACATTGTGAAGCTCCTGCAGACTATCGCTCTGAAGCGGTTGGGTCTGTGCCATTTGAATGGATGCATGCTGAGCTACAACCCATAAGGGATATGCTAGTGCGTGCTCGGGATGAGGGGAAATTTAGGCCCCAGGCCAACTTGCCTCTCTGAGGAGGCATCAAGGTTCTCCTTGTGTTGATGCCATGTTTTTGTTGAAACATGGTTCCCATGTGGCAGCGCAGTGATGCTCTAGTTTGGCAAGATAATCACTAATGATTTCAACTGTGATGGTTTAACTGCGCATCCATTAATGACAAAACACATCACACCTGAAATTGGATGTGGTGATGGCCCTTAATTGGATCAAATTTGAGACCGTGACGGGACCGTGACGGGACGTGACCGTTAAAATCGAATCTGTTTATAGTTTAAATTGTGGGGCACGGGGGGTGCGTGACGGGACCGTGACGGACCGTGACGGGACCGTGACAGGACGTGGACAGGACTGGGACATGCCTTGTTTGAGGGACCATTGTGTCAATATCTGATTTCTGGACAGGTGTTTTTGGATCAGTGGGCAGGGTTTTCAAACTTGACCTGGCCATGCCTGTGCCACCTGATACCTCGCCAGAGGTGAATGAGGCTTGGTGTAAGGTGGATCGGGCCAATGCATGAGTGTACATGATAAAAACACATTGAATCAGGATATGGCCAAAGGTCAAAACCCTGATGGTACCATGTTTGTTTGGTTATATATCGATATGTATATATATATATATATAGAAGATCCGATCCTCCTATATTTATCCGGTTAAATTATGTTGAATTTCCCGTACTGAAGTTTTATACATATATATTTTTGACTACTTGGACAGGAAGTTCGTGCGGCCCTTGCTGCAGCCGGGGTGCGGAGAGCCAAGTTTGCAGCTGCGCAGACTGGTGCAAGGGTGACTCCTGCGGTGCCCAAACGGACAAAGGCAATGGTCACCAAGGACTCAACCTTGCACTTGCTCATGAAGAAATATCTTATCACAATGGGGTTATTAGTTAGTAATATGGCAAACCATTTCACCCAAAACGGTTTCCCCCAAATTGAAAGTAATATAACATGATGCATGTGATGATGCAAGCTTTTCAGGATCCTACTGAGAAGGTTACCCCTGAGTCTAAGATCTCCAAGAGTTGCACAAGCACATCGCTTGACTCGAGTTCCTCTACTGGTGACCAAGCTGTCCGTAATTTGGATTCACAGCTGGCTGCTGCAGCTGCGGAGAAACCCGAGGATGGGTGTACATGTTGACACTATATACGTATACACTAGAAACAAATATGATGGCATTCGTCATGTTGTAATGGTGGACCATTATGCATGATATACCTGGACAGGTCATTGAAGATTCGCCAGTGGTGGAGTTGGACCTGATGCTAACCTCTGACGCATATCCCTATAGGGAGGAACATGGACCTGTTGATGACATCTCTCGGCTGCCCACGTTGGAACTCTCTCCTTCTGCTGCTACCCATGCAGTGGGGTTCTTAGGGGTATCCAATATGCATAAATCACAACTGTCAGGATTAAGATTAAAAGCCCAACCGTTCAACCACTCCTGTCCTCAGGATTTGATGGGTCGAGGTGGTGTGTCTTTGGAGCCAGCAGATACCTCAGTAGATGGTGCATTTGGTGGTACATGTTGTGGGGATGTGTGATACTAAGTTACTAAGTTGCACTGTTGTCTACCTCTTTTAATCACAAATCTAAAGGGGCCCTTAATATGGGGGGTTCAGGTCCTGAGCCTTTTGTGATTTGTTTACCATGTAATGGGTGTATTGTGTTTATAGGTCTAACTCTCCTTTCACACATGCGATGATGGATAAACACTTAAGTTGTTGTGACTTGTGTTAATGACACAATTAGAAAACCATATCGGTATCTATATACATAATATATTATGATATGTGTGCGTGTGTACTTTTATTTCTGCCCCTACATCCCACTAGCCCAATCATCAACCTGCAATAAACATAGCACATGATCTGGTCCACCTAGGTCAATGCTGATTTGGATGGATCACCACTGGAGCCTACACCTGAGCCTGGACCCGTGGAACCCCCAGTGGCCAGAGCCACACCTGTGGTGCATGTGGAGCAACCGGTCCTACCACCGACAACTGTGGTGACTCCTGGTCCGTTTGTGGATGTTAGTGCAGGGGGTGACATACCAATAGCCACACCCTCAAGAGAAGTGATGAAACAATATTGGTCGAAGTTCAAGAAAGCAAAGGATGAGACCATGAAATCACATGTGACCCCAAATGCCGCAATGGCTAGTGTGGTAGCACCTGGGTCTGCACCTGCTATGGTCACACAACCCCATGACGTGGTGGTTGCATCGCCTGCCACTGCCAGACCTGTGGAACCTGCTGTGGTCATACCACCCCATGACATGGTGGTTGCATCGCCTGCCACTGAAAGGCCTGTGCACCCTGCTGTGGTCACACCTTCCCGTGAGGTGCCTGCACCTGATGTTGTCATGTCACCGCCTGACCTGGTGGTTGCATCGCCTGCCACTTCCAGACCTGTGGAACCTGCTGTGGTCACACAACCCCATGACATGGTGGTTGCATCGCCTGCCACTGCCAGACCTGTGGAACCTGCTGTGGTCACACAACCCCATGACATGGTGGTTGCATCGCCTGCCACTGCCAGACCTGTGGAACCTGCTGTGGTCACACTACCCCATGACATGGTGGTTGCATCGCCTGCCACTGCCAGACCTGTGGAACCTGCTGTGGTCACACAACCCCATGACATGGTGGTTGCATCGCCTGCCACTGCCAGACCTGTGGAACCTGCTGTGGTCACACAACCCCATGACGTGGTGGTTGCATCGCCTGCCACTGCCAGACCTGTGGAACCTGCTGTGGTCACACTACCCCATGACATGGTGGTTGCATCGCCTGCTACTGCCAGACCTGTGGAACCTGCTGTGGTCACACAACCCCATGATGTGGTGGTTGCATCGCCTGCCACTGCCAGACCTGTGGAACCTGCTGTGGTCACACCTTCCCCTGAGGTGCCTGCACCTGATGTTGTCATGTCACCGACTGACATGGTGGCTGCACCACCTGCCACACCTCTAGTGGTGACTCCTTCCACACCTGCTACACCTGTGGAACATCATGTGGCCCGTGAGAGTACTGCAGCAATCAAAGCTGCCTTGACCCGTGCGACCACCGTCGACCTGACTGGCCAAGTTGCTCCAGCAAATGCTGACGCGCAAGCTGATGCTGCTGCAGTGAAAGCGGCAGAAGTGATGTCCTCAGGGTGTGGCTGGAGCGCTGTCCGTGATATTGATATAAATAAATATATATATATATTTATATTTATATAATATTATATATTTATATTTATATAATAATATATATATATAGATTCCTTTCCTTTCTACGTGCCATATTCTGACCTTTAACTTGGTCATTAAGGATGAAGCCCGGTACAAGCGCATTCGTGCTTCTAAAGGAAGGTGGCATCGGTCAATGAGAAGTTCCTTGTCTCAAGTTGTCATCAATCAACTGTCCATTCCTGATGATATATTGCAATAAAGATACATGTTTCATTTTCCAGGTGCAAGCTGCCCCGATGTGATCAAGAAAAAATTGAAGGAGGTGCAGGAAAGTCTGGTCCTTAAAGCCAACACCACCTTTAACTCGCCTCCCCTTTGTCCTTCAAAAAAACATTGATATTCATGTTGTATTCCAGGTGGAAACAAGTTCGAATGGGACAAGCTCTATGATATGTTTCTGGAGTGCAAGGGTGACTGGCTGAAGTCCACCCTGGTGTTGGAGTCCCTGAACACCCATGCTCACGAGCGGGCTGGTAAGTGGAAGACTTTTTCCAAGAAGGACCCTGTAGCATAACATCAAGATGAACCACATCCACATGGGTTTGAATTTTATCTCACCTGTTATGTCCCGAAAGGACTTGATGGAGAAGTACGGGGACGAGATTGCAGTACTGGACCTCATTGCCAGAAAAACCGCTGACAATATGTACGAGTCAGATTTGAATTTCCCAGACAAGGAAGACCCAGTGCAACTATATCAGTGGTCAGTGGTGTGTACTTGTGTGATTTTTCTGAACCATGTAGACATGTCTTCTCATATATTGACCATCATGTGTGTGAGGAAATGCGCACATATTGGTGCTGGGATCACAACGAAGAGGTTGACAAGAATACCCGAAGCAATACTGTTGGCACCCGTTCGGCTGGTGATCTTGACACCCGCACTGCAGGTGGATTGATGTTGGGGCACCCAGATTTCCAAGAAAAATCATCTTCAGGAGTGGCAAAATTTCAGATACAACCCAAATTGTTCTGAATATAAAGGCATGTGTGCATATGTGTATATAGACACACACACATGTATATATATATATATACATAAAATATGCTCTTGGGACCAAATAAGCATGGTTATAACTAATTACCAACAGCCCCAGCTATTGATATTGCATGGACACATGTCTCGCTCCGAGGTCAAAGCCCCTTGGAGTGGCAGGACCGACTGGACATTTGCGAACGGGTGGGGCTGGGGGTGCTGGAATGGCTCCTTTGGGACCATCGCCAAAGCCCAAGCCCAAGCCATCCCCCAAACCACCCAAAGCCAAAACTGCCCAACAAGAGGCTACTGCTGTGACTAGTCTTTACTTAACTGTTGCCATATATGTCAAAAATGGTCAATATTGGTCCTTGGAATGTTGAAATCCATTCAAAGTGTTTGAGGTGATGAAGAAGGCTTCCACCATGATCCTGGAGATCAAATCATGGCGCACAAAGCTGGCAGGTTCTGACACGTTAGGATCTTATTCCGTTCCAGTTTCTGAACCTACTTTCCCTATATATAATATTATCATGGTTGCCTTTGGTTGACTAAGGCCAACTTCTATGGTGGATGCTTTGGTCCAGGACATGGATAAGTATCTCTCACCCATTGAGTCTGGACGTGGAGTGTTGGAGGGGTTCATTGCTACTGGATCCACAGATGATGACAAGATTCGACTTGAAACCCAGAAACTGAATAATACCATTTTGGATTACCAGAAGGCCGCTGCACATGCCAAGCGTCATACGACCAAACCGAAGGCAAAGTCTTCGGGTGGCAGGAACAAGCCTGCAGTGGAAGCCGCGGCACCGGTGGCATAAAGCTGTCTGGTCCCGTCGGTCTTTGGTATACTGGGGTGGTGCTGAAACTGAGGTGAACATAATTTTGGAACCTCGGGGGGTCGTGTCAGCTTTAGAAAATGTGTTAAAACAAGATGGGGGTTCAAAATTTGAAACCCATAACCCATTGTTTTCATGTTCGGGATGATGTCTACTCAATTGGGCACCAGGACTTTGAACCATGCCCAAATCAGTAGTGCAATCCGTTTAAACTCAAGATGTTATTTTGTTTTCCCTTCTGATGTTTGGTGAATGCCGTCCCCGGGGAGTGGGTGTGGCCCTGTCAATGCTCTTGCTGCATTGCCATTTCGGGCAAATCACCTCGACAGTGCCACATGTGTACTACATGTTGCAGCTTTGCTATGATGATGCCATGATGCCTGTGAGACCACTGGCTTAGCATGCGTATCGCAATCTGTGTGCAGCAAGTATCTGTGTGAAAAAAATGCTGCGAAGTATGTGGATTGATTTGGACATTAAATACTCATGACAATTCGCATGGAAGTAATCAGGATCGATGTGAAATGCCACTTGCAGAACAGTAGCAGTGTCTGAAAGTTGCAGTGTTGATCTCCCTGCGCAGGTGCAAAGTCAGATCTGCTGCAGTCTTCCGAAGACGTTTCCTTTGCGGACCATCTCCTTGGAAGTCTTGGAAGGGGAGCCCAGAGTGTTCTGGGCATACAAGAATCTGCGGCTGCCATGGTCCAGGAATGCAAAGGTGCATGCAGTCGTGTCACAAAAGCAATAGCATGTATCGGCACCAGGGGCCGCCATCCACAGAATGCAGAACGGGATCTTTTCAGACTCCTTTCGCTGCCATGTGACCCTTTCATAAATAGTTGGATTCAAAAGATTTCTTTTTGGTCCCACAAAGACATGTTTTAGTAAATATGTCGATCATATGATGTGTTGTGTCCCCCTTGATGTTGAAGCCAAGGAACCTTATAACGTGGAGATTCGCATCAAGGATAGGTTGAATCCCAAAAAGACCACGACGATGCACCTGCCGATGATTTTGCCACACGAAATGTTGCACCACCTACATTGTACAGGTAAGATTCAAGTTGACCCGATGCAAGTGCAGACCTATTGGCAGCGCTACAGGGATTTCAAGGATGCCAACCACCCATGTTGTAAGGATGGCCTACTGAAACATTCACCTCTTGGGCTGGCTGGTGACGATTGCAAATATACATTAGCTGGGAGCAAGGTCATCATCATCGCCTTCAATTTACCACTCCATGACCGGCAGAAAAAACAGAAGACCTTGTATGATGATCCTGACACAGGCCACCATAAGTGTATACACTTATTTTCTTTATAGTTACCCCCATGGGATCCATGTATAATAGCACACCCCAAGTATATATATATATATATATTTATTTATTTATTTATTTATTTATTGTCCAAACTGTATACATAGATCCCATGAGCGTGGTTGTTGACATGTTAGTTATTTTGTGTTACCACCTCCAACCCAAAAGAAGGCACACCAAGTTTTGGGGATGAACAGTTGCGTGGTCTCCCGAGGCAATCTGGACACGAACCGATTCTTAATTGCAGCCCTTCGCAATGAGCTTCCTGGGTTGCATGTTTTATTTTGAATCTATATGTATATATATATATATATGTGACCCAACTGGTGGTTTATATGATTCTTTTTGAGTGGAATCAATACAGAACCACTTAGGCTGAAACATGGATGTATGTCCCTGGACCCTGTTTGGCGAGTCATCTCCTGGTCGCTGAATGTCGCGCTGACAGAAGTAAGAACAGTGTTTATGTTTTTACTTTGGTTATAGATGTATGTCGCTTTATGCCCATATGGTATTCCCCTGGATGAAGTGACTACTAATATTTCTTTTTGGAATTTATATATATATATATTCCTTTGCCCAACTTAAGGGTTGCAGTGGGAGAAACATCAGCATCCCTTTGCCATTGGTGCCCAGGCGGCATTCAGTGGACGCTTTCCGCACAATGATGCCTGGGGCCAGCCGTTGGGTGGCAATCGTGCCACTATGGCTGGTAAACCACTGTGTGGGGGTCCATGGGCTCTCACAGAGTTCAGGATGGGCAAACACAACATGATGGTTTAATACGTGTTGACCACAAAAATAAATGATCGCATGAAAAAAAAACAATTGTGGATCAGTTTGTTATGTTCCCTGATTGAGGGGAGATTGGAAATGGTTGAAGGAAGCTTGGAATCTGCGGCATTGGTGGCGACACCGTAATGGGATTTGCTTTAAATGCAAAGCTACTTCAGCCCCAGGACCACATGTGTATCTTGGACTACCTTCGGACTATTTGTTTGTGATGAATTTAGACCTTCCAATGCCCAAAAGTATGTTATTTTTTGGGGGTAACCATCATGTGCTGTTCATTGGCCATTGCCACCCAGCCCAAAGGTATTATGACATCGCCGCATTCCCACAGATCCCACGACTGAACATGGTCCAATTCTTCAGTGATGCTCTGATGCTCAGCTTGTTAATCAATATATAGCATAGTGATGTGGTTTGTTTCTTTGGGGGACATGATTAATGCCTAGTTTGAGCATCACCCCTGGTACCCCAGGAACACTTATGTCAACCCTCTGGTATTTACTACTGGATGGGAACCATCTATGCTGAAGTATTGCCTAATGCACACATTGCATCTCGGACTACTCCACTGGGTGAATGGCGGCGCTGTACTATGCCTCATCAACCATGACTTCTTTGGCACCTTCGAATTAAGAACATTTCTTTATGTGATGTGGTTTTATGGTGTTATATGCATTTTTTTTACCAGTCAAATCATGTTCCAGTCAACCCATCCAACTTGGAGGGCCTCGTGGTGAGAAGTTGTCGGTGCAGTTGGAAGTGCTGAGCCTTAGATTCCGTCGCTGGGTGAACTTGCATTCCATTCCGAACCCTGACATACCAAATGGGTCAAAATATGGGATGCACATAGTATTATGAAGTCACTAGCTGTTGGTTTTGGGGATCCCAGATTTTGACCCACCATGACATTATTATTTTTTGATGATGTTTTTTTCCAAGAACACAGCTACATGGGAAAAACAGGGTTACACTGTTACACTACAAAGGTTTTATTTCAACCATAGACCTGAACTTTGAAACAGGCTTTCTATTCCGAATATTACAACTGGTCACTTCGATGAGATCCCAGGGGAATTGAGATTGAAGGCTTGGCATTCCCGTGTGATGGTGGCTTTTTTGGCCGTGTGCCTTCAACAAGTTGTGGTGGCTACCCCGGAAGCGGAGAGGACAACTGACCTCATACTATCTGCACAGGCAACCTTACAGATTGCCAATTGGAACTTGGATTTGGAGATGTGTCCCATTGACCTATCACAAGAAGAAGGGGACAGATTGTACATTCAGGGGATGGCGATTCTGGTCTGAACATGGCATGGAATATGTCTATTTATTATTTGTTAATCCCAAACTGGTATCCCTAAAGTGATGCATAATCCTATCATATGAACCCTAGCCATGCCTCACTCCTTGAGGTTTTGTAACACCTACAAGGCGCTCAACACCCACCACTTCAGGGAAGGCAGGTCACGGTATCCACTTCGGCCAAAGCTGCACGTGCCATGATATCCATGGAGCATTGTGAGCATATTGTGTTGTTTATTTATCCCTGATGTTTAAGGGCTGTTAACATTATATATTTTGTTCATAGTGAACCATGCACCAATGCCTTTAAGGTATATATGGATATCCTACTGGAGCAACAGCGAACCCTTGAGAATTGCCGAACCGTGGCAATATGACAAACATCAAATTTTGAAGTTGAGTTGATATGATGTTGTCTTCTGAAGTTTGATCTTGTCTTTGAACAAGCTACTGAGGAGCAAACCATTGTTACAATGACGAGGACTTTATGGGTGCTATGAAGTCCTTAGCACGTAGAACACACAGAAACTTGACTTTGAACCCCTCACCGCCTTTAAAATTAGTTTTCTTCTGGTGGGACTGGTTCCATTGAGCTGGTCTGTTGACATTCCGATCTCAGGACTGACGCTTGAGATCAGGATGTGCATGCGCTGGATGCTGCGAATCGCCCACCCACATGTTGGACACCATGTTGAACACTGACAACGCTGGAAAAAATACTGTGCGATCCTGGGGTGTGCTATCAGGTTGAACCCAGTTGAAACCCATAAAATCGAATGATTTGAATGTATAGCAAATTTGGCTACGAAGGCAGGAATCGGATGAATGTCATCACTTTTCATCAACGTCATCGAATGTTTGCAATATATGCATGCGCTGGAGCGTTTGGGATCTATTATTATCATATTGTTGGTGATAGCGTACACCAT